TAAATGATGAGTTGAAATGTGGCACTATTTTCTTTGCTCCATGCGTTACATCGGGAAAGTAACGGTTGTTGTCATAACATCACAATAAATTTCTTAGACAATTTTATAGAATATGGAAACATGAAAAGAAATTTTCATATTTTCTTTATCCTTTAAGCATAAAGATTAACAAAATTAATTCATGGATAGAAAGAATCGTATCTCAAAAATTGACTTGAAATTACTAAACATTTTTGAGTATTTTCTAAAATTCCACAAAAAATGATATCTGTTGCTGCGTACTTGGTATTTCCTATCATTACTCAGTAGTTCTCTAGTCGAAGGATAATGATAAGTTAACTTATCTAGAAATTGCTGTCTTGTACCGTTGCAGTTGTTAAAGTTGTACGGAAAGTTCCTTGTAACATATAAGCAACCAACGAAGTTACTTGGAAGTTTTTTTTTTCCCATGCTTTGATAAATATCAAATGTTTTCAGTAGATTTCTCTATTTTCTTAAACTATCTTTTTTTTCATAGGAGTAGTATTCTGAAACATGATGATTTCCCAGAGAGAAATTTTCGTTTTTTCGAGAATCTTGAACATGATGGTGAACAGGAACAAATCAAACTTGAAAGATGTCGCAAGGTACTTATCTATTGTTAAATTTTTCTACAATTGGACTGAGTCACCATTTAACCCAGTTTCCAACTTTCGACAGACATATAGAAGAAAGAAATAAAGAGGTTAACGACAGGAATACAGTACCAAGAAAATGAACATAGATTTTTTTTCTGCGCGCAATCATTATCAAAGTATTTACAGTGACGCAACAAAAAATGACGGTTTTATGATGCTTGCATCATCTTTCAAAAAAAGATATATATGTATGTAAAAATTTGTGTTTTATTATTCTAGATTTAAAAAAAAACGAAAAAAAAAACAAGTCGCATAATCCAAGAAAATGGATGAGCTTCAAACACGCCTAAAACAGCAGGTCTGTTTAATTATATTTGTGTAAAATTTTATTTTTTTATTTTTTATTTTTATTAGGAAGACGAAGTCAAAGAACTTGAAACACAATTATTTAGTCGACCGGAATTTAAAGATAATCGTAAACTTGAAGAATTACGAACTGAAAATGAAAAACTAAACTATCGAGCAAATATTCTTATTCGAGTAAGTAAAATAAATGTAAACAAAAAAAGTTGGATAGAAGAATTTATTTACAAAATATTATTCTTAATTTAGAGTATCGAAGAATTAAAAAAACAACAACCACAAGCCAATGCAACAGAAACTAAACAAGGCGATAATAAAGACAAAAAACAACCCTCACAAACAAAATCAACTGAAAAGAAACAAGATGATTCTAAGCATAATAAACAACAATCACAAGCAAAATCATCTGAATCAAATCAAAATGATAATAAAAATAAAAAAGCAACTACAACAACAACAACAACATCAACAACAAATAAAAGTCATTTTACAGCTGGTGCACATGGTGATAGTCAACATTCTTATCGAGTATTGGATACATTGATTGGTCTTTTTGAACAAGCTATTCGAAAAGCTTTTCCTGAGGATACAACTTTACCAGTTCTTGTTGTACCTGGACGACAAACTGATTATCAATGTAATTCAGCTATGCCTATTGCTCAGGTTTGAAGAAATTATAATGAATAAATAAATGCTCGGATTTTTTGTTTTGTAGAAAATAACTGCAGCCGGCAAAAAAATGATACCAACAGAAGTTGCTAAAATCATTGTTGAAAATCTTCCTACACATGGAATCATTGGAAAAGTTTGTTATAATTTAATGATTATCAAAATAAAGATTTTTTTTTTATTGCTTTTAGATTGAATATTCTGGACCAGGTTTTATTAATGTAACTCTTGCTTCCGAATTTGTTTCCGGACAAATTCGAAATATTTTATTGAAAGGTGTTTTACCACCAAATGTTTTAAACTTAGTTGGTAATCATGGAAGTCAAGGTGAAAATAAAAAGCCGAAAGTTGTTATTGACTTTTCATCACCAAATATTGCTAAAGAAATGCATGTTGGACATTTACGGTAAGTTGATTAAAGATGTAATATTCGACACAAAACATTTGTCGGAAAAATTAAAATATCTTCATTAATAGTTACGAACTATGATCAATAATGTCTTTCAACATTTTCTTGTCCATAGAAAATATACGGATTTTTATTAATATTTCGTGATATCTCTCTAACACTTACGAGTGAATCACTCGAACTGATATCCGCCGTCGTTTGAGCTTATATTAGCCTTAGAAAGAAGTTTTGGTAAGACTAGAAAAACTCTAAAAGAGTTTTTTTCCATGGGATCCCATCAGAATCATTTTACTAGATTTTCGACGTTAAATTTTCCCACATATAGCTCTAATGAGTTATAGAATATTCTAAAGATTTCAATAGAAAAGAATATTTTTTTTTCTCCCAACATACTGAATTTTCAAGTTAATTCGACTTTTTTTTGTCATGTGTGTGACGATCTATCATTTATTCAGAAAATTCGATTCATAGACAAAGTTTCACGTCGTAATTTTACTTTTTGATACGTATCCTATAGGTGGACCAAAAATTCAGTATGACAGCCGTAACTCGACTGCAAATATCAGTGTGGAGAAATCATCTTAAACTTGTTTTAGGCTTATCGAGGCCATATATGGGCTTAAATGATGGCAGACATCTGTTCGGATGCTTTCCTGTAATGTGAAGACCGCAAATCTACCAATGTCTAGTTCTTTGATAATTTTTATTGATCCTTACTCTTTCCAATCGAAATCATACTCATTTCATTTCACCTCGCTCAATTTATTTTGAATTATCAGTGCTAACTTGAGATAGTCAAGATAGAGAGTACATATAACGACTTTTTAAAAAGACAACAAGTATTATCTATCACTTGCAAGAATTGAAGATTAATTGTCTCATATTTTAACAATCCTTCGATCAATTATTATAACGAAATGTATATTGTTTATCTATCTGTATATATATATATGTATAGATCAACTATAATTGGTGATAGTATTGCTCGTCTTCTTGAATATGTTGGTTTTGATGTACTTCGATTAAATCATCTTGGTGATTGGGGTACTCAATTTGGTATGCTTATTGCTCACTTACAAGATATTTATCCTGAATATAAAACAAAATCACCACCAATCAGTGATCTTCTATCATTTTATAAAGTAAAATTAAATTAAACATTTAATTTTTTTTTTTTGTAAAATAAAATTTTCTTAGGAATCCAAAAAACGTTTTGATTCTGATCCTGATTTTAAACAACGAGCTTATGAATGTGTAGTTAAACTTCAAGCATTTGATCCAGATATAATTCATGCATGGAAACTTATTTGTGATGTATCTCGACAAGGTTTGATTAGAATAAAATTTGATTTTTGTTTTTTCTATTAATAAATTTTACAATGTATAAATTTAGATTTCGAATATATTTATAAAGAACTTGATATTAAAATAATTGATCGAGGTGAATCATTTTATCAAACTCGAATGATTGATGTTATTAAAGAACTTGAATCGAAACGTAAATGAATAATTAATATTTCCACAATACAATAAAAAAACAAATATTTTTCATTCTTTTTCTCTTTTTGTTTAAATAGATTTATTAAAATTAGAAGAAGGTCGTAAAGTTATGTTTCTACCTGAAATTGATGTTCCATTAACAATTGTTAAAACTGATGGAAGTTTTACATATGATACAAGTGATATGGCAACAATAAAACAACGTTTAGAAGAAGAAAATGCTGATTGGCTTATTTATGTTATTGATTCAGGTCAAGTAAGTCATTTTAATAATAGAGAATAAATTTGAATTTAATTACTAAAAATAATAGGCTCTTCATATGCAATCAATATTTGCTGGCGCTAAAGTAGCTGGATGGACTGCAGGAAAGAATGTTCGAATAGATCATGTTGGTTTTGGTGTTGTACTTGGTGAAGATGGGTAAGAGAATAAATTAAGAAATATAAATTAATCTTGTATTTGTTGTTTTTATAGCAAAAAATTAAAAAGTCGATCTGGTGAGACAATTCGTTTACGAGATTTACTTGATGAAGGTGTTGAACGATCAATGGTTAAATTAAAAGAAAAAAAACGAGATCAGGTAAAAAATTTCTATTATATTCATGAATTATTTTGAAACCTTGTTTTTTTTTCTAGGAATTAACACCTGCAGAACTTGAAAAAGCTCAAAAATCAGTTGCATATGGTTGTATTAAATATGCTGATTTATCTCATAATCGAACTTCTGATTATATATTTTCATTTGATCGAGTAAGAAAAATAGAATATTATTTTCTTTATTAAATTTTAATTATAGATGCTTGATGATCGAGGAAATACAGCTGCTTATTTACTTTATGCCTATACTCGAATTCGGTAAAAGAAATATTTTGTTTTTATTTATTTATTCATTTATTTTATTTATTTAAATATAAAATAGATCAATTTCTCGAACAGCTGGTGTTGATCATGCTGTATTAAAAGCAATGACACGTGATATTGAACTTAATTTTGAAATTGAAGAGCGTGAATTAAAATTAGCTAAATGTATTATTAAATATGCTGATGTATTTACACGAGTACTTGATGAATTATTAATGCATGGTTTATGTGAATTTATGTATCAATTATCAACAGCATTTACTGATTTTTATGATCGATGTTATTGTATTGAAAAAAATAGACAAACTGGTGAAATTATAACAATACATTATCGACGAATACTGTTATGTGAAGCAACAGCAAATGTATTGAAACAGTGCTTTGAAATTTTAGGCATACAACCATTAGAAAAAATGTAATTTCACATAATTAATAATCTCTTGCGTTACAAGAAATATCATTATCATGATTTTTGTTTTTTTTCTTTTATTAAAACAAAATAAAAAGATAATAAGAACGATCATATTAAAATGAAAGTTGTTTTTCAACTTGTATCAGATTGATGGGTCATCGATTATTTTTATTCATCATTTGAAGAAGTATTGTGCATTGAATAAGGAATTACTTCAAGATTTTCATAAGAATCATCATCTACTTTAAGAACGAATTCTAATTGAAATGGATTTTGTGGTCGAGCTTCTTTTGTTGTTATACCATATTCAAGTAGGTGTTTACTATCATTATCAAGTATTTGACCTTGCACACTTAACCGAATTATATTCGGATCTATTCGAAGTATATTTCCAATAATTTGTTTTAATTCATATACAGTTGTTGTTTCAGCAACATCAGTAAAAATAGTTTGTTTAGCACGACGAATTTGTAAATAACAATCAGGATATATATTAGATGTTAATGGTAATGATTGCATCTACAGTGAAAATGAAAATCAAGACTAAAAACTGATTCCTTTTTTTGTTGATTTAAGTTTTTAGAAAAAAAAAAAGCAAGAATAAATATTTATTTGAAATCTAATTAAGTAGCGAAGTTAAAATAGAAAACATTAGCTTTTCAAAACGAATGACAGAAGTTTAGGACGTGTATGGATTTGAATATTATTGGCGTTTAAGTTCGGCAATTTCTTCTTCAATTCTTTGTTTTTCAGCTTCAAGAGCAGCAAGTCTTTGTTGAAGTGAACCTCCTGAACTTGTGCTACCCGATTGTTGCTGACCAAAACTTTGAGAATCTCCTTTTGATTGACCGCCACTTTGACCAGATTTATCAAGCTGAGCTCGACGTTTTGCTGCTTGTTCAGCTTCCTAATTTATCAAGATAAGTTATGATTTATTTCCTTTTATTTCATATTCTTACAAAACGACGAGCCCAACGTGTTTCTTCAGCTTTTTCTTTCGTACTGAATGCATCTTGACCAGAACTAGTATAAGATAATAGTTGAAAATACGAACACATTTATATAATTTTCAATACATACGCAACGGAACCAGCTTCCGGATCGGTAGTTGATTCAGCACTAAAATATTGCAAAATAAATGTAGAAAAATTGCAAAATACTTCTTGTTGTTTACCGAGCAAAAGTTAATGTCGAACGAATAAGACGTTGAGCAACTGCTCGATTCGATGAAGTAAGTACGCGATACATTATTTCTTAAAATTGCAATTGTTAAGAATAAAAATAAGTTAATAAATATATCTCCTACAAGAAAAATAATTGATCCAATAAAGTATAGCTTTAAAATGCAATACTTACAGATAATAATTTTTATACACACTGTTCTGATACGTAAAATAGACGCTTTTTTTTCCAAACATATCCACATATTATTTTTTATGTGTATAAGAGAAAGTATTGAGTCATAATTGATAATCGCTCAATGACGACATCTATGATAGTTACATGCTTGTAGTATGCAATAGCAGCCGTTGATTGCATGTAAATTCAATAAAGATGATGAGATTTAGTAAAAATTTGCATAGATGATGACACATAGAGTTTGAGATTCGTCTCAGTTTGTATAAGATTTGATTTTATGCTAAAACGTCGAACAAGATTTCTACAAAAATATGGTTCTAATACGCACTCACTAAGTTCATTAATGTTGACTTTCTAGAAATATTAAAATTAATTTATAGACTAATTATATACAACATCATTAATATACTGTACTCAGAAAATGAGCAAGAAGAGATTTTTAAAAAATCTTTAATTCAAATTGCATTGAATTTTTTTCTTTTTAAGACATAGCGCATGAATATGATCTATTAGTTTAATATATTGTGTATTACTAAAAAAACGCACGACCAAAATAATTACTTTTATAAAAACCTTCAATCAATTGAGATTTATTGACGCGTCGAGAACGAATATCATAAAGTACCAAGTTGATCTTGACTTTTTGTTTTTTGAACACTTCATAACTGATATTGTATAACAATGAGGTAAACACTGATGTAGACTGAATAAATAAATGAAATATAATTAATTGAACATTTATTCATCTCTATTCAGAATGATTCTCTTGGCCGTCGAGACTAACACCTGAAGATTCTACATGTTTACATGTATTGTTTCCTCATTCAACTAAGCGACTTGATATTGATTTTGTATCTTGCTTATTTAATTGATGAAGTTTCATCAGTCATAGAACTCAATGTATTATTCTGTTTAGTTTTATTGTGTTATTTTTCAATAAAAAAAAAAACAATGAAGGACTTTTAAACTCATGTATTCTTTGTGATAGAATAATAAATGTCTTCTCTCCGAATTCAATCCTCAAAAAATAAATATATTGATATGCTTGTGTATAAAAATACATTCAGACATCATTTTCTCATTTTAAAACAGAAGGAGAAACTCGTGCATATATTAGAATATGAATTAGTGAAAATGAATACTCTCTCTACTGACAAATATTAAGTATGTATTATAGTCTCTTAATGGAAATGAAAATTATTTATAATAGAAATGGATGTATTTCAGTTGTTTTCTAAAAATCTAACCTTAACCAAAAATCTAATAAATGTAAAATTTGAAATTCTGTAAGCATTCTCAATCGACAATTATGCATATCGAACATAATTTATTCCGTTCAAAGATATAAGACAATAGTCTAAAATTGATCTGTATTGAGAATATACAAAATTTAAATCATAAAACTATTTAAAAATAATAAAAAGATGTTAAAATGAACATCGATAGTCAATTTATATTTATTCATAACTAAATAAATACGCGCCTTAGAAGAATTACCTATTAAAATCTTAATCAATGCTTAAAGTACCTAATTCCAATATAAATAAATCAAGTCTTAAAAACGAATTAAAATTTCTTTATCGATTAAATAAAGCTCTTTATCAAGATGCCGATGAATCTGTTCGTCTAAATTTTAATATTCTTGGTCATCATTATGAAATTCCTGTATCAATATTAAATAATTATCCAAATACATTACTTGGTGAACCAAAATTACGTGCAAATTATTATGATTATTTAAAAGATGAATTTATTTTTGATCGTCATCCACAAGCATTTGAATCAATAATATCATTTTATCTATCTGATGGAAATTCATTATCGAAACCTGATTGGATGCCATCAGAAATATTTTATGAAGAATTAAAATTTTTTCGTATTAAATCTTCTATACTTATATCATATTATGATCAAGAAATAGCACCAATGATTGACATACAAATCATACCAAAAAATAATTATAAGCGTTATTTATGGTTATTAATAAATTATTCAACACAAGATTGGTACAGTCAATTAATGCGAATCATTGATTTTATACTTAATTTAATTGCTCTTTGGACTTTTACACGAGATTGTCTTAGTGATTATCGAATGTCACAAATAATCTATTGGATTGAAGAATCGAATGGACAAGTTCTTCGACCAATTTATATGCTTTTTTATTTACATATATCTAATGTATGTAATTTGTATATCATTAGAGTTTTGCTACTATACTTTTAATTTTTGTTGAGACTTTGACTTTGTTTATATTACTCATTTAGATCTGTTTAAAATTAGATATTTTTCTTTAAAGAAATAATATTTACCATTTTTTAAATATTCATAATTATTTCAGGTCCGACCCTCAGTCAGAAACCTATTTTTGTCTCGAAACAATCGATCTAACTGAAAGCGCAATTTTATCTTCATTTACAGCTGTTCTGAGCTTTCAGATATGTAAAACAGTCGAGAAATATTTGACACAAGAACAGGAAAAACTAAAAGAACCTATTTACAGAAAAACAGGAAACAAAGTTTAGCTTTGGAGCCCACGTTTCTTTTTTAATAGAATGATATAGAAAGCAAATCGATAATAGTTTGCCATAGGTTAGCAATCATTGTGAATCGAATGAAATTTTTCACGACCTTGTGTAGTAACTTTTCCTTATAGGCAACCCGTTTGTTCAACTACAAAAGCATTTATTCTTGGGGAAATTATGATACTGTACTTAAATTTAGTACTCATTTGTATTAATTGAAATTGTAGAATATACTAATCTATTTACAGCATTACAAAGTTAGAAAAGAAAAAGAATATATATTAATTGTTCAAAGTGACGTCAAGAATTAAGCAGAGAAGAAAGAAGACGAGAGTTGATCGAAGAAAAACAACCACTATTTTTATAAAAAAAATGTGGGTAGAAGAATAAGAGTGGGTGGGTTGACGTGAGTGTATTTCGTAATTGCACCCTCAATATATACACATCGATAAAGTACAAGCCAAATCTAAAAATCCGTAGATTGAACATTGCAATATATAGCCTTACTCTTTGAGTATATATCAAAGCAAGAGCGTACTTGTACTTTCTCATTTGTAATTTATAAATTAGAAAAAATATTAGTGCAGACGAAGACTCATATGTATATATTGTTGTCAGAATGATCACGGAACACTGAAAGCCAACAATAAAAAAATAGAGGACATATGTCTAATTATCCGAAGGCTTACAGTATCTGTTATTTGACAAACCTTGGCTAGATTCGTCATTATTTGGAACTTATACAAAACAATGACATCAATAAATAAATTTTTCAAATAAAGGTCGACAATTTCAGTTGTATTTTATGTTTGAGAAATACTTGAAAATGTTCTCTGATCTAAACTGATCTGTTCGAACAGTTCAGTTCAGATCGTAAGCACTATTCAAACAGTTTTTTGATAAGAATTGATTTGTCCAAACAATTTTTGTTCTATGTTTTTTAGGAGGGCACTTCGGAATATAGAGAGCGTTTGTTCTTGTTTAAGAATGTCACTTTCGGATATAACAAATTTTTGTTCTGTTTGGGGAATAGTGCTTCCGGATATGATAAAATTTTTTTCTGTTAAAGGAATGGCGTTTCCGGATATAATAAACCTTTATTATATTACTGAAACGCTGTTCCCAAAAGAGAAAAACATTTGTCGCACAACTCCGTTCTAAGAATTCAACAGTTTGAACAGATCAATTCCTATCAAAGGAAATATTTGAACAGATTTTATGATATGACTGCATCTGTTCTAACAATTCTTTTGCTTATTTGATCTGAACTTGGAAGTAGGACTTATTTGACTGTTATTGTCTAACGATAAACTTTTTGACTCCTGCAATCTTATTAAAACCTCTGTACGATAGTGAAAAATCATAATAAATTCGGTAAATTGTACTATTTTCGGAAATAGACCTGGAGGATTATCCAACCATTTAACAATCTCAAAATCGAATTTTTTTATAAAAAGAACCTCAATTTTTGACAGGGCAGAGAATGAGTCTTAAACGAGAAATACATAAGTTTGACAAGATTTCTTACGGCTTTACATTGCATTACTCAATGATTAGAGAAAAGACTTCTTTAGTAGCACAAGTATTATGAATATTAGTATATTATGCCCTTTGATGAACTATGCTTAATAGTTCTTTTGACCTGAGTTGTTCGTGAATGCGCGAGTGTTATTAATAGAATAATATAACTGTTCTAATATGCGATTATCCGATGACTCATTGAATCATTCGAGTGCTGAAGTTTAATAGTTTAGAATGTCAAATATACAAAGTTTTCAAAGATAATTTGATTTCCTTCGTTGACAAACCAATAACTTAATAAATAAAGTTTCTTAAATCTTTAGAATTCGCAAAGATTTGAATAAGAAATTATTTTGTAAACTAATATTAAAGTCAATTTTTATACATCATTTATCATTCATATGTTTTTCTTTTAATATAGATGATTATTGAATTATTATGCACAATAATATTTTTCATAGAACTTTGTCTACGTATTTATTTAGTTCCAACATTTTATCAAATATATTCTGATATATGTTTTTGGTTTGAACTTTTTTCCGTACTATCAAATTTCTTTATGTATATAATTATTGAAATTCAAAAACATAAAATAATTTATTTTTATTCTTGTTTAACATTTATTTCTATTCTACGTTCATTACGTATATTTCGTTTTACAAGACAAATAATTATATTAAAAATATTTCTTTATTCACTAATACATAGTATTCGACAATTATTTCATCTATTTATTATTCTTATAGCCACAATACTTTTTTTTGGTGAACTTATCTATTTAAATGAAGAATGGACAAGTGATTCATCAATTCAAACAGTAACTGGTATAAAGAAAAAATATTTCAACAAAAAAAAAAAGAAAAGAAAGAAATATTTTCAAATAATTTTTGTTTAAGATGGTTATTGGCTTACTGCATTAACAGTAACAAGTCTTGGTTATGGTGATCTATATCCAACACATATTTATTCACGAATATTAATGTCTATTTGTTCAATAATTGGTCTTGTAGTTGTTGCAATGATTATACCAGAAATTTATCATTATTTTGGTAGAATGTATCAAAATGCAACAAAAAAACGACATATTATTCGTTATATTCATTCTGATCAGATAGCACTTAGAATTTGATATGATCATATAGCTTCTTTTTTTTTTTTCTTGTTTCGTTAAATAAATCTAAAAATTCACATATGTTCCATAAATTGTAATACGAGATGAATAGGTTCTGTTATTCATTAGAAAAGAAACTATTGATCATTCATTCTTTTTATCAAGGTTAAAAATAAAAATCGATAACTAGACTTACATCAATTCATTCATTCATTTGATTTTATAACGTTTTGTTTGTACACACATTAAAATGAAGTCTCGACCGGTAATAGTAGCTACAACTAATGGTACATCAACACCAGCTAAACGAACATTATTCCGTATAGCATTAGCTGTTGCTATGGTTGGTACAATAGCTGTAAGTACAATATTAATTTTACATGGTGCATTAGCACTTAGTCATCTTCAATATTTTATTGATATTGGTTTACATCCTCGTCATTTAACATCTGTATTAGTACTTATTTTTGGTCTTCTTTCATTATCAACATTTATTATATTAACAATTGGATTACTTAAAGTAAATAAAACATTTGCTGTTATAGCAGCTGTTTTATTAGGTATTTGTTCACTTGGTCTTATTGCAATTAGTATATGGTCATTTTTAACAATAACAAGTGGTCAATTACCAGCATCAATTAATAATGCTATTGTTAAAGAATTAGATAAAACAAATTATACAGTTTCTATTGGAAATGATATTATTATTGTTAATTCAGATACTATGGCAAGATTAGAAAAACAACATCATTGTTGTGGTCTTACTGATCCTATTGAAGATTATCGAAGTCGACAACCAGCTATGTTTGGATCATTGAATCCTTCATCATCAAGTGGAAGTAGTCCTGGCAAAGGACGAGCTTCCGCTACACAAAGAAATACAGCAACATTTGGTTCATCTGTACATTTACCAATTAGTTGTTGTAATGAAAAATATCGTGATGAAAATAATATGTGTATTGACATGTTTGGAAATAATACAAGTCCAATAAATCGTTATAATACTGTTGGATGTTATGCTGTTGTTGCTCGACATAAATTTGAACGTATTCAACGACAAGGTTTTGCAACTGTTATAGCAGCATGTTTAGCTGTGATAAGTTGCATAGCTCTTGCAGCTGTTGTACGACTTTTGGGTGAAGGTTATCAAATTGTACCATTACGTACTGCGAAATGAACATTGATAAATTTGAACAGACTGAAATTTTTCTTTTCAAAATCTTTCTTTTCTTCTCTTTGTATTCTTCTCATTATTCATATGTATATGTCTTATTAATAAATATAAAAATAAACTCGATCGATTCTGTTTCATGATCAATCATGTTTCATTCTATAAAAGTCAATATTTTTTTTTTCAATCAGAATATCATGCTAAAAATTATCATGCTATGTAAAAACTTCAAGTACAAATATGAAATATGTTCGAGAATTAAATTTATATATTTTTAAAGTTACAATATAAATTAGATAGATTTTGTTTTCTGTCGAACTTATTCATTTCTTTGTATTCACTTTAAGTCATTCACTCGAGTCGATATAATAATATTATAATTATATGATGTGAGTGATTTTTATTTTACGTGACAGCAACTTTTCATCATATTTTCCTTTGATCTGTTTTTTTTTGCTTTTGATTTCACAAAAGATTTGCATATTTGATCTAATTCTAATAATAGTAATAGTAGAGCCTTTTGCGTGTTATTCTTCATAAGATTTGTTTCCAACTAGCAATATTTGTCTTTGCGTTCTTGTTCTTATTCTTCGTCTTCTTCGTCTTGTTCTTTGTTCCATAGAAAATGAGATCAGTCAGTCGTTGGGAAACAAATTTATGAGAAATATTTATATGCATATCGATATAATTAAATTTTTATAACGTAAAGGTATACTCATAAATCTCTTTTTGTTTTGTTCGTTCAAACAATGAGATATATATAATTTACTTTTTATTTTCCTGAAAAAAGGTTTGTAAGCAGGAAACAAAGAGAAAACAAAGAGATGTAATCATAGAAAAATTCAATTGAGACAAATGATCATTTCAATCTTTTATGCAAAGGTCTTTATATAATAGATTTATAATAGAACGTCTAAGAATTGTAAATGTCAATAAAAAAAAGAAAATAGGATTTTCTTCGTCTTTATCATCATTGGGTTCTTTTTTTCTTCGTCATCTAAATGAAATCGAGCTCGCTATAGTAAATAGAACTCTTGTTTGTATGTATTTCATGTCTACATTCCAATTTCCCATAAGAAAGAAGGCTTCAGGCTATAAATACATAGAAGAATTGGGTGCTAGAATAAATGTTAAAATGACATATAGGCATTTGAACATGATAAGAACCGATCAAAACGAACCATTCAACTTGAGAGCCATTACGATGTCTATTAGAGTTATACAGAATGAGAAACACAAAAAAAAATCTAGATAGACTAAAAGACAATTATTTGACGAATGTTGAGCTAGAAAAAAAAAAGAAAAAACCATCATGAGGAAAAACAACACATATATCCGATAAAAACACAACAACAACAACGACACTCAATAACATGACTTTCTTCATCGCTCATTTTCATTCAATTCCTTCCTTTTCCCTCTTCTCGTTCTTTTTTTTTTTGTTTTCATCGTTCTCTATCTGATGCGATCTAACAATGTGAGATTATTCATTGTAACTTGAACATTTCTCGCCGTAAATACAAACATACGTGGTCTCAAAGCTAATACTTAGTTAACGGAGGATATCCTCAAATTCTCGGAAGCTGACGTAAATGGAGAAAAAAAACCAGTAGAAATAATGATGAGGAAAAAAAAATTAGTTGTGACTTTTTCTAATGGTAAGAATTAGAAAGGTTTCTTTTCTGTAATAGTTCCTTATGAAAGACTTTTTTCTGTATTTCTTCCTTTTACAATATGTTATTTATTTAAAAAAAAAATCGTTGATCGATTGCTTAAGGATAATCGTATAAATCTTCTTTTTGGTTATGCCTTACGGGCATAAGCACTCATTTTTGTACAATGTAATATGCTGAACTAGAATGTTGTCATCTCTTAATGACAATCAAAAAAAAATAATAAGTGATACTCCATGTATATATTTACTAAGCTATAAGTTATGAAAATAATTATTGTTTGTTCCGAATAGATATTTTTTTCAGATACAAAGTAATGTGTGATCAACCAATACAGATAGCTGTTTTAGGCGATAAAGCTGTTGGAAAAACAGCTATTGTACGTCAATGGTTATATAATGATTTTTCAACATTATATTCTGAAACAAATTTAGCTACCTATCATTTTACATCATTATTTAATGGTCAACGTTTGTTTCATATACGTATTATTGATACACCACGTTTTGATGATACAAATAATACTGATCCTCAACAAGAATGGGTACGAATGTATTGTTTTCGTCGTGCACATCTTTTTTTATTAGTATTTGATATAAATCGTGAAGAAACATTTAATTATATTAAACATATTTACCGTGAAATAGTTCGTGTACGTCTTGGCTATAATAATAATAATCATCAACAATATCAACAATATCATCATCATCATCATCATCATCATGCTCATGCTCATTCTCATTCTCATCATCAATTAGAAATTTTAGCCGATCTTACAAATGATGATGATGAACAAATAACAATTAGATCAACAACATATGTGCCTGTTATTGTTGTTGCTAATAAAGTTGATTTAATATCAACGGATTTACGTTTTTCAAATATAACATTAACAAATTCTCGTGATATACAACAATATGTAAAAAAAAATTTTAAAGCTAATACAATACAATGTTCAGCAAAATATCATTGGCATTTAGTTTTATTATTTAAAGAAGTTTGTCGAATGTTGGAAACTGTTGAAGATACTGTTGCTAAACAAGCTGCACAACAAGCAAGAAGACGACTTCATCAACAACAACATCATGACAAACATTGTCGTGTTATGTAGTGCTTTATGTTCTTTTTTTTTATAACTGTTTTCGGTCAAGTAATCTATTCATTGTTGGAGAAAACTACACAAGTTTTTTTCTGCTTTTCATTTCTTTTTCATGCAACATTAATTAACATTAATGTCTGTTTGCCTTATCAATGTCATTGTTTTTGTGTGTTGATTTAACCTAGATAATAAATCAACGTTTACAAGCACCTAGAGTGTGCATCTATCTTGAGAAAAAAAATATTACAGATAGTATTCACAATTAAAATAAACATTAAATACTACGGAAAAAGTTTCATTTAGGTCAATGTGTCCAACAACAAAAGTAAATCAATGGAAATGCATAAGTATAAGTTAATTATATTGATGTTCTTATCTCAATAGAAGCAGCCTAAGTAAAGGATGTTCTTAACTCCAGGTGCCTCAGACAGAACAGGATGACTTTCTTAAAAATACTTTCGTGAATAGAAGAAAGGTTGATGCACGTCGATCGTACTTAAAATAACCTTGACAAGTCTACATGAAAAACATTGAATTTATTAGAGTATGAGAACATTGATTTCAATAAATCAGTATACATAATATCACGTATTTCCCCTTCAATTGAATCACTCTGATGTCTATTGAAAAAAAGCACCTATTGAATGAAATGATTCGTTAAAAAAATGTACTCAGTAGTAAAGGTCATACAAAAGATTATTAAAGTACTGTCCTATGAATGAGTTAGCATTGTTGATAATCATTCAACATGGAAAATAATAATGATAAATAAAATGTTTAGTTATCATCCATGTCAATAATATGAAAAAGTGCATGTCACCATGAATCACTCGATTTTGTTCTGAAATAGTACAATCATACGGTCATTACCTACTGAATTTTTTTCTTTCTGTCTATCTATAGTCGCGTCTTATTTAAGAATACGTCTCTCAATTACAACGGAAGTACACCACTTTGTGATATTCATTTTCTATTGCCTACCTACACATGTTTTTTTTAACTATTTAGTCAGGATATAAGGAGGAAAAAATAGGAGGAGGCAAATTTGCAAAACATGTCTCTATTATGAATTTGTAATGTATCCATCATAGTTGCATGATTTTTCTGTGAAATTGAGAAAACCTACCATATTGTTAATTTAAAAATGCGTTCTTTATAATAACGTCTTAGAAGAATGAAAAATTGTTACTATATATCTACTTTCCTTCTGGCGAGACAGTAGCGAAGTACAGAAACAAAAACTCAAGCATTACCATATTTTATTTTTCAAATTGGGAGACAGCTGCATAGTCTAAATTACCTATAAAATAAATCGGTTTTGCCCTCGTCCTTTTTAACTTTTTTTTGTTTTTATGTCATTCTTTCACTTGAAAATAAATTTATTTATTTTATTCAGTTTAAGAATTATCAATATACAAGAAAAACAAAGCAAAAACGAAACCAATGTTCACATTTCTTTTACTTTTATCTATCTGTACATGTTTATTGGCTCTTTATCTAGTTCATATTCATCGATGCTATTCATTTTTTAAACATCTCGGTATTAATGGACCACAGCCCATATTTTTACTTGGTAATATAATCGATTTTGTTCGTACAAAACGTATATCAGCGTGCATTCAAAATTGGACAAATCAATTCGGTCAAATTTATGGTTATTTTGAAGGTCATACACCAATACTTGTTGTATCAAATCCGGATATTTTACATGACATATTTATAAAACATTTTTCAAAATTTCATTCACGCCGTCAATTTCCATTGGAAGATCGTCGTACAACAAAAGGTGTCCATTTATTTAGTGCTACTGGGAATCAATGGCGACGACAACGAGCTATTATCAATCCAACATTTTCCTCCCTTAAAATGAGACGAATGTTTCCAATAATCGATGATTGTATATCAACTTTATTAATTAAATTAGAAGAATGTATGAAAGTATCGTCTGAAGGTTTTGATATTTATAAATTATATAAATGTCTTACAATGGATCTTATTTGGAGATGTTGTTTTGGTATCAAAACTGATATGCAAAGTGATTCAAATGATCCATATTTAAAACGTTCTCAAGAAGTATTTGCTAGAGAAAATTGTACATATTTGGCTACATTATTAGGTATATTTATACCAGAATTACAACCAATATGGTTAACAATTCATTGTTGGACAAATTGTATTAAGGCTACATTTCGTCGTTTATTGCCAATGGGTGAAAAAATAATTGCAGATGATCCAAGTGAATGGCTTAAAGATAATGTTGATTATTTTATTAAAAGAGCACAAATTTATCAAACTAATAATAATGATTATAATACTAATACAACTAAATCAATTGATTTAATTCATTTAATGCTTGATGCAGCAGAAAAAAATTCCATTAAGAGTAATCAGGTAAAGATTTTGTTAGAAATATCAAAAATTTCTTTTATTCAAAAACAAAAGATGCATAACTTATAAAACAAATAATTGTTCTATTATCTCAATCTCATATTTAACACATGTTTAAATATATTTTTCTTTTCTTTAATGATTTTAGCATGACAGTACTGAACGAATTTTATCATTAAATGAAGTAAAACAAAATATTTATTTATTTATGATTGCCGGCTATGAAACTGCAAGTACAGCTCTTGCTTATGTTACTCATATATTGGCTACACATTTGGAAGAACAAAAAAAATTACAAAATCATATTGATTCTTTTTTAAATGTTGATAGTATTCTTGATTATGATATTATTAATAAAATGGAATATCTTGATTGGTTTATTCGAGAAACTTTACGTATGTATCCAATAACATCAATTATTATTAATCGAGAATGTTCAGAACCAATTGATTTACCTGGTTTGGGTCGTATTTTTCCGGGCACTAAGGTTACACTTGATATGTATAGTTTACATTATAATAATGATTTATGGGGACCAGTAGATACGAAAATATTTTATCCAGAAAGATTTGCAACCAAACGACATCCAATAGCATGGGTAGCATTTGGTATTGGTCCTCGCAATTGTGTTGGTATGCGATTTGCTCTTGCTGAAATAAAAATTGCAATAATACGTCTTTTACAAAATTATACAGTATTACCAGCATCAATGAATGATAATAATTTAGATCTAATTGAACTAGTAACAATTTCACCAAAACAAGTATCAATTAAATTGGAACAACGAGCAGATAAATAGTGGTATTTTCAAAATGAAAATTCAAATGATCTTTTTTTTACAGTCAACATACGAAAAATTATCATCGTCAATCATATTGACGCTAACTGACTTAGTCATATATACAAAATAAAGGAATTTCTCATTATTATATAAGTTCATTTTATTTTATTTATTTTTTGTTGTATCGTTTCTTTTTATTGTAATGTAGATCACAAGATTTAAAATCAATGAAACTTAGTTAAATGTTAAACATATGTTACTTGTCGTATTCATATACAAGCGTTTAAGTGTTTAATTCTATTTAAAAAATCTTTGAATTCATATTTTTTGATTAAAAATCGAATTGAATAATACTATTTTTTTCATATTATACTATACTATTCACATCAAAGACAAATAAATCTCAAGGTTTTTAAGTATTCATATAAAATTCTCTATACTCCACTTATCAACCTACTCAAAACAAGCATTTATCTTTATATGTAAATGTCCTTGTTACCCTTAAGAGATTAATTCAAGTATTTTTATCTTCCTTTCCGAGACAAACATGACAATTTGCGCAAGCCATGTTGTGACAATTTAGCTAATACAATTTTGTTAAATACACCTACTGAACTAAAAATATAACAGTAATTCACTTTTTTTTTATAGAAAATGGGAATTAATTTTTTTTTTTGCATGTACTAAAATTAAACACATATTTTATAAAATAAAAATAGATTTTTGTATTACTATAAGAAGTACAACTATGAAAAGAAGAATTTAATTTACATAAAACCCAAATTAAATTTTTATGCTAAAATTTATAAATTAATAAACGAAATGTGAGAAAATTGACAGTCAATGGAAAAAACTCATAGTTAAAGAAATATTTCTTTTGTTGAAGTTCACAATAAAAGCTAATCTTCTGCATTTTGGAAAATCACATAACACAGGTGATTGGTTGATGCCATACTCTGAATCATACATAGTTGCAAATAAATTGATTTGATTTATATGACAGCTATCTCTTTGAATATATATTTTTAATGTCGTCATCAATATAACTTTTCTATATAAATTATTGTTAAATTTTTTCGAATAATCTATATAACTTTTTTTGTATTACTTATTGTAAACAATTGTCTGATTGATTATTATGATGATTTCGATAAAAATGAGTTTGATCATTTCTGATATATCATTGTTGGATCAAAAGGATACATGTCTTAAGATATTGAATATAATGACTGTAAAAAAAAAAAGCTTCTTTTTATACTTCTAATGACTTTTAGAAATGATAGATGAATATTCTCATATGGATCATTTGATTGAAGATGAAAGATCATTCAATATGTTGATGATCATTGTTTATTCATGATCTATTCTTTTGATCTGTAATAATCGTGTAAATATACCGATATACTGAACAGTATTATACTTCATTGACTTCATGAAACAAATCTTTGAAATAATTTTTTTTTGTCTTTCTACTTATGTATGTTATACATTTACATTCAATGCGTCGAGAAATTTCTTAAGAATGTTATGATTCTTTTCTATAAACACAAATGTATTCTAAGCAACATATACTATCACGTGCTTGTATTTTTTGGATTAACTTGTACAGAATATACAAGATGCGAACTAGCGGACACAAAAGAAAGAGAGTGATTCAAAAGGCATCTATCGAATAGCTTAGTTATGCACATGCATATTCGACTTCTTCGTTTCTTTATTGAGCCATTATTTTCTTCTTTGCTTTCTTCTCTCAATTCTGGTCGCTAAGATTTGGTATGTCTGTCATCATTTATTTGTAATGAATAATGATCAGTAGTATAACTGTGTCCGTCGGGACGAAAGAAAAACAATCACTATGATAGTTTGTTTATAATCTAGTATCTTTTTGTAGTCTTGAGTTTATTATTATGAACAAGAGAAAACGATAATAATTTCATTTATATGTATATATAGATACATATTTTAGACGAAATACTCAATGTCAATTTCTTCTTCATCGTCGTCATTATCATCATCGTCTTCACCACCATCAACGACAAGACCAAATGATTTTTTTGATCTACCAGACGAAGCTAGAGCCGACGACCAATATGTAGTCGAAAAAGTGCTTGCTAAACGACGAAATCGAAAAGGAAAATGGGAATATTTACTTAAATGGGCCGGATGTAAGCTTTGTTAATTCTTTGTAATATTTTAATAATATATTTTTCAAATAACATGTTGTACTGATAGAGGTCAATTATTGTGTGATATTCATATATACATTTTATTATTATAGGGAAAACATAAAGGAAATAAAAAATCGACATGTATGAAACGTAATTATTACTTAGTTATAACAGCCAAAATTATCTTTGTTTTTCATTGGAGAATTCAGTTAGAGAAATCTGATACTTGTAAAATCTTATCGTTTGTTGATCAAAAATATTGATATTGATATTTAGAAGTAGTATAGAGTTTTAGATGTTACAGCTTTTTTTTTTTCATTATGTATTCTGGTCGAGTTGACTTCACATTCGAACTATTATGAGTTTGTTAGATAAATTTTTTTTGTTTATTAGAAGCAATATTTTATTCATTAATTTTTCAATAATTTACAAAAAAAAAATTGATTCTCCCAATGTTATAATTCATATAGAAACAATGTTTCAATAAACTTAAAACCTTTATACTTGTTTCAAAATAAACTAGAAGGACGCAATTATGATATTCTTTTTATTGTATATAAATGTCACGCACACTTAATTATTAAATAATTTCATTGAGTGCATTTTCTTCTCTTTAGGAATATTTCTGACCTCATCACTACTGATGATGATGACTAATGTTTAAAATAACCATTGAATATTTATGATAATCAATAAACCAAAAACAAATTTTAATCAATAATTTTTTGAATAATTTCTATGACAAACAAAAAAGACTCTTCTCAATCTTGAAAACTATTCTTTTTTTTTTTTTGTTTTGTCAAATTCGAAAGTTTTATTGTTATCTGACCTAAGAATTCTCAAGAAGTCTTTATGTCTTCCCTAATTCTGGGCGACGTTAATACATTCCTAAATAAGACTATTGGTTTATTTGATAAAAATAAAACATGTTTCATTTTCTAATTCAAGAAAAAATTTTCTTCTAGTTGGTGATGAAGATAATACTTGGGAAGCTCAACATGATATTCATCCTGATTTAATTGCTGATTTTGAACGACAACAAGTTGAATTAGATACATCAAATCCCATTTATTCAACATTAGGTGAAGATCGACCAGCTAAATCACATGTATCATCATCAACTCGTACAGAATCACCACAACCAGCTAAGAAAAAACGAAAAACTTCGAGTAGTGTTTCTTCAATACCAACACCAACACCAACACCAACACCAATACCAACACCAACAACAACAACAACGCCAACACCACCACCAACAACAAAAACAAAAACAACAAATGAACCATCCCGAAAAGTTTTTGGTGTTGAAAAAGGTTGGCGTGTACGAGCAGTTATTGGAGCAGCTAAACAAAAAGATTCATCAGTATTATATGCTGTTGATTATGTACAAGGTTCACCAGTATTACGTGAATATGTACCATCAGATATAGCTCATGTTTATATACCACGTGAATTAATAGAATTTTTTCAAAAAAAAATTGTTTGGAATTCATCAAATGCAAATAAGAAAACTTAAGTGAGTGTACTGTGATTTGTATATCTATTCATTTTTTTTTTCATTTTTTTTTGCTCATGTATCATATGTTAACTTTGATTATATATATTTCATTTCTGGAGTTTTGTTTTTGTCTCTAGTGTTCTCTTTTTGTTGATGATAAATTAACCTATATTATAAATATATATACATATAATATATACATATAGATAGGCATGATGAACAGCGAACTCTAGAAATTTTTTTTTTATTGGCGAATGATTTTTTACCAATCAAATGAAACGACGAAGTCGATGTGCACGTGCTTTCGGGTGCATATTTATTTAGTACGCACCCGATAAAAAGCAGCTTATTTCATATATGTATATTGTTTTTTATCTATATCTACCATATGGTTCTTCGTCTGTTTGAAATATTGAAAAAAAAACATAATTTTAGATTAGTTTAAGATTAAAAATAATTCAACGATGAGCAGTACTGAAGGTATTCCAATACGCCGACTTGTTGTACATGATCCTAAAGATTTGCCACTTCATTATGGCGAAACACCTGGTGGCAGTATTTTTTCAACCACTCCAGGAGGTAAGATTTGGATTTCTTTTATTAAAAGTTTCTAATGGATATTGATTGTTTAGGCACTCGTATTTATTATGATCGAGCCTTTTTACTGTCTCGTCGTGATTCACCTATGGCACGTTCACCACCTCATTTACCCTATATTCCGGAAGGTAAGTATATCATTTTTATTTCAAGATAAGAATATGTTCAAGGATGAAACTAAAAATAGCTTTATAAATCATATTAGATATGTACAAGATGAAAATATTAAATATATTGAAGACCTTGAATCGATAATAATAACTGTTTTTTTTCATTTGTACTTAGTTACATTAATTCCTGAACCGGAAAAGCGTGGTGATGTTGTTGAAAATGGTGTTAAAACAGACAAAAAAGAAAAAGCAGAATCATCGGTTGATAAATCAAATTTGTCAACAACTGAAAAACAACAATCAACATCGGCTAAAAAAGGTAAAATAATAAATTATTATGTTTATACATAAAAAAAATAATTTCTTTTGGGTTGTAGAAGGTGATGATCAATTTTCAATGGATATGTGATCTTTGTTTGTTTTGTTGTATGATAATGGAAAATAATGTACGGAACAACAGATAACAGAAATATAAACTGATATCACTACCGTTTTTTCTTCCTTCTTACATCATCTCTGTCCTGGGAATACAGAACAGTCCTTTTCTTTTCCGTTGGTTCATCTTCTTTTGTTTTTTTTTCCTCCGGTGTGCTTATTTTTTGTTCAATATACACGAAGAGTTTGGATGGGTGTTATTAGATTAGTTCTCTGTTTTTTTTCTGTTTATTTTTTATTGTTTGTCTCTGTGTTATTCTGTCAACGAACTTGTCATTGTCTGCTTCATATACAAAGTTCGTCTTGCTCAAAACAGAAAATCGAGAAGAACATAATCTTCTTTATTGTCATTGTTGTTGGTTTGTTACGTTTTGCTAGTCTCTTGAAGAAAATTAACCGTTTTTGTTTTGTTCGCTCTGTTTTTTTTTGGTGTGACAAAAAAAAAAAAAAAATAAATGAAGAAAAAGTTGACTTTGTGTAATAGCCAATTGGCTAACATTTGTAGAATTGAGAAGTTGTTGATTTAAGATTTAAAAGTAAAAAATGAAAATTATTAAATCATACATAGTTTTAGACAATCAAATAATATTCTGTTGTGAATACAATATAATATTTATATTTAATTCTTATTCGTAGTAACAATAATTGTTGTGATTGTAAGAGAGATTTTTTGACAAGCAGAATTAGATGAAATCATTTCAAAGGTGGTAACAATTTTAGATGACTATTACTTAATATCTTCAATAGAATAAGATATTCAATGAAGATCACAGTTTAGTTGTAGAACTTTATCACAGGTCAATTGAATATTTCTTCATATCAACCTTACGATGATGATCTAAAAGATCGGATTATCTTTTATGGATTATAGATTGCAAATATTGATATCATATGCTTAAAATACAAAAGAAAATATTCTTCTAAACTTACATATAGTTGCTGACTCTGTCAAAATATAATATTCAATCAAATTTGTCAACCATTCATTTTTCGATTTTGCGATAAGACTCTACATTTAGAATGAGTGAGTACATTAGACATACGTTCTATATTTCTATCACTATGAAAAATTATTTGATTAATTGTGAAGGACAAACTTATAAATATAATTTTCGATTGAGTTAGTTTCATATGATATTAATGATAATATCATTTGATTTGTGTATGAAATAACATGTTGATAGCTTACAAAGCATTATTCAAGGTTGTGTCTGTCTTGCTTTTCCTTTTGCGTACATAATCGCTATCATTCGGACAAATTGCATAGATCGCGTTGCGCTTATGTAGAACGGGGAAAAAAAAGAAAACAATATTTTTAAAATGAGATATTTCGTTGGATTTGGTGAATGATTAGAAAATAAACAGAATTGTTAATTATTTTTTTTTTATGCCAAAGATATTATTGAAAATTTAGTAAAATCATTTATTGTAAAAGGAAACTTTTATTTATTTAAGATATAAATTGCCCTTATTCTTCCCTTGCGATAGAGGACTTTGGGTATTCAATAATGTCCTATTTATTTCTATAATTTTTCATTAGAAGGGGTTTTTAGAAAAACTAATACAATTTTGAAGCTTGAAGAAGATATTTTTTAGAGATTTAAAAGTCCAGAAATAATGGGGACATCAGTTTTGAACGATTTTCAACTCACGACTCTAAAAATTAGGCATATTTTGATATGAATATACTACTTGAAGTTTCAATTTTTTTGAGAAATCAATTAATGAATGGAGGAGGGTATCACATCAGGTGCATCATTCCTTCAAGAGGGTCTACTATTATGGTGGAGGAAGGGTTAGATGAATCATTGAAGTAATGAATAATGAAAAAAAGTTGACAATGGTATCTAGTAGGTGATTGCTGATAAGTGCAGTTTTTTTTGTGTAATAAAGTCAATATCTCCAAGTTTTTGTACATTAGGTATTATAAAGATGAAACCTTTGAATTAAAGAACAGTAATTTAAATTTGAATTCCATTTCACTATAGTATTGGTTAAAAATGCACGATCAATGTATTTTTTCATTATTTTTTTCTATGATATCAAGCATTTAACTCAAATCAGAGTTGTAGCTTGAATAATCAATTGAATCGTCTATTAAATGCATTCGATACTGAAATTCTATAGATGAGCTATGAGAGGATGGTTTCTAAAGAACTAAACATGGTAGCTCTCAGATTATAGAAAATTGTTAATAGTGCCATCATAACGAGCACAAAGTCTAGGATAAAACAAGTGGCCGCTACATTTTCTACAGCCATCTCTCAAAAAAAAACTATAAGCATCACAAAAAATGAAACAAAAAAACGAAGTTTATCATAGCATTGCTAAAAAACGCGTTGTATTGTTTTTGTAATGCTTATAGGTTTCTTAAGGAAAGATCGTATGAAACGTGACAGCCACTCATTTTATGTCGAATTTTGTGCATTACAACGTATTACTTTTAAGTGTTCTGGAATCTGAAAACTACCATGTTTGGTTTTTCAAAATCCTTTCTCTCATGATTGATTTATGAAGTTTCAATATGGAATGCATTTGATAGAGAACTTCAGCGATTATTCAAACCACTATTTAGCTTTGAATTAAATAGTTCATATTATAGAAAACAACAAAAAATAGTTTCGTTGGTTTTAATGAACCAATAACGTCTTAAGATTATATTTTATTTTTATAATTTTTTCGATCACTTCTCAAAATAGTAGTAAGTCAATTTTTTATCAGTTTTTAATAACACCATCATTATGAATAATTTGAAATATTAGATTATAATTTTTTCGAACTGATGAACGTACAGTTAATAGTCAATAGTTAGTTAAAACTATGATAATATCAGTCGAAAAAGCAATAACAAGATGCAATATTGATGCATCATTATTTTTTATAAGGTGGGTGAGACCTTTACTTTTTAGTGTATTACAGTTATTAAATCTTATAAGCTACTTAATTGTCGACTAGCTTTTGATAATAAGCAACATTCCTATAAATAGAAAATGTGTCACACAAGATTTGATTAATAATTAAATTGCTTTGATCTTTAAATGGATTCAAGCATAATTCTATAGTTCAACATTAATAATTAGTTTATTTGAAATAGTTCGGGCATACAAAAACGACTAATTTCAGTATTATATTACTCTACGCACAGCTCAAAGAAAATTTCTTTTGATATGTACGTGTAATTTCAACAATGTTCTATATTTCTCCAATATGTCATCATCATTCAGCTGCTATGGTGACCGGACAATTCGATGCAGGACAATTTGTCGCAATGATATACTTCAATCATAGTTTATATATTTTTTTCAACAATGAAGCGACTTATTCAATTAAGTTTGAAACGTGTAATCTAATGACGATAAAAATTATTGAAAATATTACTCATATCGAAACTCCAATTTTTGATCTCGAGATGAGCCACTAAAAAGAATTCTAGGAAGAAAAAAAAATCGGACCCGTTTCCTACTTCATAATTAATGTCAATTAGGGATCTGCAAAATTGCTTTTGTTTAGTACCGGTCCCGGTCTTTGACAATGGCTTCATTTCTAAAATCGAGCAACTTCTTTTACAATCTGTGTACTTATCATATTTTGATAAGACTTAAATAAAGGAATGATCAAAGAATGAACGAATTAAATTTACGTATATAGTGTTGTGTTGGTTGTTTTATATCTATTCAAAAACCTGTGCAATTGGAAAATTCAGATTCTTGCAAACAGGCTCGTAATCAGTAAAGACTTTTATAGAAATAGTAAATAAAAATATCTGATTTACAAATCTTTAATTATGTCAAAATAATAAACGTGAAAATATATTGCATAAGAAACTGTTCAGGACCACATTGCAGTTCCCTAGATCAAAGACATAGTGGTTATGTGATTTAATAAGTAATAATGAGTCATAGTTTTATCATAAACAAATTGGTCGAAAAGCATCAAATACTGCCTGGACAGTCAGTTGAAAGACTTGGCCAACTGTAGTTCGACGAAGTCGCTTTACTCCGACAACATTGTTTTCTATATTTTCTAAGACCACTGACCCTATTTTAATTCATTGGGTAGAGGAATGACAATCTGTCGATTATTATTATTACACCAATAATTGCTTACAATTTATTATCAACAAAATAAAAAAGCAAAGACTATCATCTGGTGCACATGCCATCAAACTTCATCATGACAAGATGTATCTACCTATCTTAAATCGGATAGTATCACAATTCTACCACAACTATCTGGTTTATCCAGACTTAACGCTATGCGGTTTCTGGCTATTTGACTTGATTAAACAAAATCTTACCAATCAAAACAAGTTTGACTCGATATATCATGCTATAGTCAGGACTATGAACTCATTTAATCAAGATGATTATTAAAAAAACTTTTGATAAATGGTTGGAATGGATGAAATTTTATATATCCCCCGGAAAAAAATAGTTTTGCCTTGTATTTCAAATTTATTGTCACTATAAAGGTATATTTTTTAAAAACCAATTATATATTCTGAAAGCCCGTGGAGTTTTCTATCACTCTATATAATTAGGTTTTAGTTTCGACCTATTCATTACCAAAATAAATTGAGTGCAATGGAGGCACCCTCATGTCCAGATTCCCACAGACTTGATTCTATCACTGTCATCAGAATTAGTTTTTTAAATTTTTTATCACTATAGAATTACTTTTTTGAAAAAAGTAATTACAGATTCGGATAGAGCGTGAAATTCTCTATCACCCTATATATTTACCTATTTTCTTACATTGATTTATTTTAAAAAATTGAGTACAATGAACACACCGTGAATCGACAAGTACCAAAAATCTGCATTTTTTTTCGCTACTTAAACTCAAGGCTCTGCATTAACACATAGAATGATAGAGAATTTCAAGCGCTATCAGAATGTGTAATTTATTTTGTAAAAACTTATTCCTATAGGAGTAATAATTGAAGAAAAAAACTAAAAACGTAGGGAAAAAATGCAGATTTTTGATGCTTGCCAATTGAGGATACGTTTATTGTACTCAAATTATTGCTCAACAAATAAGTGTAAGGCCATAGCTAAATATATGGGGTGATAGAGAATTTCACACTCTATCAGAATATATAATTACTTGTCTCAAAAGGTGATTCCATAGCGACGAAAAGTTTAAAAAACTAGTTGAGGAGACAAAATCCTGTCTATGGGGAATCTGGACATGAGGGTGCTTTCATTGTCCTCAATTTATTTTGGTAATGAATAGGTCGAAACTAAAACCTAATTATATAGGATGATAGAAAACTCCACAGGCTTTCAGAATATGTAATTGCTTTTTAAAAAATATATTTTTATAGTGACAATAAATTTGAAATACAAGGCAAAACTATTTTTTTCCCGGGGGGGATATATAATCAGGACTACAACCTCCAACAGTTTGCCTTTTTCTCGACTTTGGTTTCTTTTTAATATCAATACTATTGATATGTTCTAAGTCTAACAAAGAGAGTAATCATCTAGATACGAAAATTATTCATTTCGATTGAATATATCCATGAATATAATAATGCATATTGTAATTATCCAAATTTTGAATAATAAATCCAATATTATATTATGCATGTTTTGGAAAAGTTATTAATTTCATTCAAAATTCTCCAAATCAACTAAAACTAACTCTTGTCATGTTCAGAAAATTTCTATTCAAGTTCAATATATATATATATATTTATGAAATTTATTTTTCAATAAAAGACATATTTAAAAAAAAACACAAATAATCACTGAAAAAACATACTTCATAAAAATTTTATTATACATACGACTATATCATTCTTTCAATTTAGCTTGTTTTTTTTATTTCTTACTAGACACGTAATTTGATCAAGAATTAGGTTAATAAAAATTAAAAATAAATATTATATATTGTTTAAAAAAACCGTAATGCTTTATTTTATCCATCTTTGTTTAGCATTATTGGTAATCATTCGTCGTCGATAAAATGAACATGTACGTTCACATTCACTAAGAGAATTGAAACGATTTTGATTACCACCACAACCACCCCAAAAGAAAATTTGACATGAACCTAATTGAGCATTAAAAAAATATTGCTCAATACTTGCTTTACAAGGACCAATATCCGGATTTTGTAAACAAATATAAGGGCTATTCATAATTGGTGGTCTTGGTGTATAGGTTCCAAAATTTCCTAAATAGATTAAAATAAATGTTAGAAATAATTTGATTATGAATTCGAATATACTGACCTGGAAAAGTTGATGTACTAATTTTTTTCATAAATACATTAATAGGATTGATTGGTGCTGGTATTAATTGTACTGGAGTATATTGATCATTAATATAAAGTAATTGACCATCTTTTTCAATTCGAGCTTGAATAGCATATTGTCGAATACTATTACTATTTATTTGTACTTGTGCCATTGAATATGGAATTTCAAAAGGTATTGGAAAACGATAAGATCCATATAATACGAGAGTATTTAATGGTCGAGATGCTACATCTTGGAGAGAGACATCCGCTAATGATACAACTATCTGTGAACCAAATGGTAACATAGATGTATCATCACTAATAAGATTACCACGAACACGTGGATCTAATAAATTTGTTTAATAATATAATAAATCAAGAAGAAATAATCTTTCTATTGACTTACTTTGCTGCATACCTTGAGCTCCGAACGCATTAGTTTGTGGATGAAATGGTCTCAGATTTAAATTATTGTATGAATATTGTTGTTGTTGTTGTTGTTGATGATGATTATTATAATATTGTGCTTTTACCGATGATAATAAGGCAAGTATAACAATAGAAAACATATTTGTAGTATGTATATGATGATCACTATAAGATATAATGTCAAAAGATAGTGATGAATTTTGGTTTTTATATTATACTAGTATTATCAATCATATGTAAATGTCATGATCTATTCTCCTACGCTTCTTTTTTTTTATCATCTTAAATCACATAACAAAAAAAGAAGACAAGCGAAGAAAAAAAATAAAGTAGATCAGTTTTCATATGAAATCGATGACAGATATTAGCATTGTTCTTATTGTCCCACGGAAGATTCATGCATATTGATGTCTACTGGTATGTGATAAAGACTATTCGATGTGATTAAACGAATGCAAAAGAAAAACCTGACTTTGTAAAATTCTATTGACGTCATTCGAAACTTTATGTGGGTGATGTATAATAATCCTATAAGATTCATTGAAAAGATTAATCTTTCATTTATCAAACCAGTTAAGTCGTGACTAGCCTACAAGAATTTATTTTTATCTGACAATAACTCATTGAAGATAAAGTTTTATTCTTAAAAGGTCTTCTTGGTTTTGTTCTAATAGTTTGATTGAATTGTAGTTCTTTCGATTTAATTAGTATTCATATCATAAAATAAAGGTTTATTTCCATGGAGAATTCTAATATGTAAATATTAAAAACTGAGAAAAAAGAATGAAATATAAATTATAATTAGAATAGTTCTGTGTTTGACTTGTGCATGTGTTCAACTGTTTAAAGCCCAATCTGACACTAGATCCGATACAGTGAACGTTAAATTCGAACATTTTTTCTTTTTGTTTAGTTACATTCATTGAATATATTTACTCGAGAGAATTATGGAATTTCCTATAGTGGTACTAAATATACATCGTAGTAGTATCTAGAAGATCTCATGAGTATTATTTTTGCATGAGGATGTTATGTGTCTGACTTTTCTATGAAACTATGATGACATTGTCACACCTTTTTTTTTTTTACTAAATTAAAGTTATTAAGAGTATTAATCATTAATACACAAATTGAAAGCCATAGTATGCATATTGATCACTGTATCCTATTGATAGAGATGTTCGTAAACAGAAAATACAAAGTAAAATATTTCTTAACACCCATGTACTTTTAATAGACAGTGCAACAATGAAAAATACTTTCTATATTTATATCAAAACATCTCTACGTAGAAGGCAAATAAAGTCAAATTGTTATCTTATCAGTATTGGATCGAATGTCATAGGTTAACGTTTTCGAAACATTGGATGGGAGAATAAAGTACTTTTTTTATTGTGTTTTTAATATTACTTGAGGTAATATCATCAGAAATTTTACAGTGATGTTGAAGTATATTGATATAATATTTTATCTAGGTTCCAAAAAGATTTGTTCATATTGCAGAGAATGACAATTAATTGTAAATCTATTTCATAATTTTTGAAATCATCTTTATGTTGTGTATATGTAAAGGTACATTCTATGAATTAATAGTTTTTTAAGCATGAATTTTTTAATCAATCGTAAAAAAGATAAATTGACAGTGAAAAATCGCATTAGAAAAAATGAACACAACTCTTGTTTTTTGTTTTTAAATTTTAACACGAATCCATTCGCGAGTCGGATCAAATCGGATACGAGAAAAGTCTATTCAATTTCAATGTATATATTTATCCAAAAATAAAAATCTTATTTACACAATTATTGTTCCTTCCGTATCATACTAAAAGAATAAATAAATTAAAAGCAAATGATTCTAATACTATTTCTTTGCTTTTTCAATTACTCAATAGAAACATTTAATATTTATATTATAGATGTATGTGGATAATAATAATTAGCAGTCAATCATCAACAACAAAAAGTGTACGATGATTGAAGATGATGATCACAAGAAAAAAAAATAAAAGAATTAAAAATAAATTTAATTATTTAGACAAACAGAACAGTTTTGACGAAGAAAGTAAATGCAATTATTGAACCGAGTACAAGACCAATAATAAATGTAATAAGTGACCATCTGATAGCCTTTTTATAAAATATTGTTGCTTCAGCATAAAACCCTTGACTATGTGCTCGCACAGCACGAACTGCATAAAAAATAGCAATAATTCCTGAATAAAAAATAACTTCATATAACATGTGCTATTCGCTTGAATGATTTTTTTGTGTTATGTTCAAGAAATCACTCACCCAATATGGGACAACATACTGATGAAATAAGAGAACAAGCTAAGCTTCGTTTGGGATGTGTTTCATCTTCTACTTCATCTATTCGATATCGATCTAGATATTCAATATAAAGAAGAATAGCAAGTAAAATATCACTCAATATTATTTAAAATAACCTCCTATATCATTTTCAATTTGTCTTGTACTTGTAAATTTAGCAGACGATGTACATCGATGACCAGTTTGTGTTGATGTAAATGCTCGAGAACCAAACATTTTATCTGATAAAATAAACGTAGGAAATAAATGATTGCTATTAAACTAAAAAGTGAATCAAACGTGAATGAAACGTCCGGATGTAGTAGTGCTAAAAACATCCTACAGGGCATGTATACTCTTGAGAGAGAGAGGAAGAGTGTATATGTGTAGTCGTACAAAAGCATAGATGCATAATCTTTGTCTCTAATCAACCAAGCAGTGAAGATGATGAAAGGCACAAAACAAAAAAAAAATAGAGAGAAGAAATATGAGAAGAGAAAAAACAGCTTGTATTGTCCGGAAGGACTTAAACAGAATCATCACCATTACATATTTTCTAGAATATGTCACTAGAGATTTTCATAGAAACAAATACTATTATATTGACTAAGCAAGTCTACTATTTATAATTATCATGGTGATTTTTTTTTCTATGTTGTTTTTCTTACTAATATAATGTATATGATAAACAATAATTATCTATCACAGTCAACTAGGGAATAATCAAGAACAGTATGAATATAAAGTAAGATTATCTTACTTATTTTGATAGTAGTTTTCAAACTTTAAAAACAAATAGGAAGTCACGAAGAAAACAAAAAAAAAGACCAAAACGTCTATTCAATTATTTGCATGTTATTATTACATCGATGAATTTAGATGAAGCCAATAATAGTGACATAGACGGCATACATACCGGAAGAGGAAGAACATTCACTTTGCACAAGACTCAATTTATGTTAAGTCGATTCGAGAACACTTTGAGAAGCGTAATCAATGACAATATCTGATCTTTTACTATAAATGCCCTTCTTCTTATACTTCTCACTACGACGACACATTTATAGCTAAAAGATATATTACACATGTTATCGATGTTTGACTGTTTGCATTAGTTCTTTTCCTCTAGTGCGATCCAAAGACATCAATAAATGATGATTAACCAAGCGCAAGATGATGAATATATATATATATATATATATATATCGAGATCAACATATTGCTGGTATGTCGTCTCAACCAAAAAAAACGTCAAGAAAAAAAAAATTCCTAATAAAAGACAACAATCTTATTAGACCCATAAGATAGATAGATAGATATATGCAATGATGGCAGCTAATCGAGTCTAGTGTAATGATAGACCGGTGTCGACTTGTTTGATAAATGACATGCTGAGCTATGGGTGGAGAATCCTTAAACAATATAAATTCTTCATGTCATAGAAAACACAACAGATATTATTTAATAGAAATAAAAGAAGACCATAAAAATGAAAAGAAGAATGTTTTATTATATATATATATATATATATATTCTGTTTTTTCCGGATATTTATTATTCATTTCCTATTTGCAATCAAAATTCCAATAATAATGAATTCTAACTTTTCTTTTCTCATTTATTATTTCATCCATCTCATTAATTTAATAATTATCATTTGTATACTTTCTGCGTATATTCACATCATGTCTTTTTATTCGAATTAGTACAGAAAAAAACAACAACAACAACAACAACAATAATAATAATATCTTTTCAAAAGACATAGATACAAAAAAATTCCTACAAATCAATTGTTTATATCCTATTATATCAACAAATTATTCTTGTGTTAATTGTTGATAGAATTTTAATGAACGATCCATACTTGAACTTGCTAAATAATTAGCATTTGAACCAAATCGAATACCAGTTGCTACAGCTGTATGATCATTAAATACTTTAAGTAAATCCCATTGTTTTGCTTGATAAACTCTATTTAACAGAAAAAAAAGTAACAAACATCAAATAGATTAATACAAATTTAATTCCTATACACTTACCGAACATCAGTACCAGCTACACCAAGATACATTCCACTTTGATCAAAAACTAGATCACATATCTTATATAAATAAAGAAAAATAAAATGTATATAATCAATTATTATTAATAAGTAAATGTTACTTCATAACGATCTTCAAGTGTAATAGTTTTAAAGTTTTTCAATTTACGTAAATCCCATAATTTAATTGATGCATCTTCGGCAGCTGTTGCTAAATAATATCCTTAAAAAAAATAGACAGAGAGAGAATTTGATTTTTTTTTGTGTACAAAAACAAAATATGTTTTATATTTTTTTACCATTTTCAGAAAATGCAATTGTATTAATACTTCCAGCATGACCAGGAAAATCAGCAACATTATTACATTCTTTTAAATCCCAAATTTTAATAACACTTTCTTGTGTACCAATACCAAATATAATACCATCCGGATGAAATTGTGCACATGTCAATCCTATGAAAAGAAATATTTCGAAATTCGAATAAATTTTTTTTTCTTTTGCTTAGATAGAGCTTGTCAAATTACTTCTAACTCATATTGTTTTTTTTACACATTCAAACAATTTCTTTAAAGCGAAATTTAAGAAGATTAGATTTTAAAATAAAACAGAATAGCCTATAAAAATTAAAATATTCTAAAAAGCATCATGTTTAGAATCATCAGAAAAATCTGGATCGAATAGTATAGTGTATGTTTAAAACGAATCTTTGTTAAATTTCGATCCTTGCGCTCCGTCAATGTTATTTTCAAATTATCTGATCTGTGATTCTCTTAAAATAGAATTTAGATGAAAATTTATTTTAAGCATTGAGTATAAATCCATTTTTTCAACAATCAATTACTATTTTTTTCCAAAATTATGCATTATGGTTTTATTAATTAAATGACATATAAAATCAAAAAAAGAAATTCAGATTAATATTGGACCAGTTGAGACTTGATGTTTTTAGCGTAGATTAGTTTTTATAGGCTTCTCTAACATTCAGTAGGTTTTATCCAACCATAAAAAAAGAAAATTTTGATAAATTTCGAATTAAAATTATATGCATACCTTTTTGTGAAGTTGTATCTTGAATTTTTGTTATTAGTTTACCAGTTCGTAGATCTGATAAAGCCCAATATGTATCACTTGCACTTGATAAAACATAATCACCAGTTGGATGAAGTGAAAGACCAGTTATAGGACTTTCATGAGCTTTAAGAATTTTTAAACATTGTGCTGATGGAATATGCCATACACGAATACTTGTATCAGAACTTGCTGTTATAGCAATATCCTATAGAATAAAAAAAAACAAACAGAAGAATCTTTTGTTTTTTTGAGATATGAATTCATTTAAAATCATTTTTTTTATACTTCTTCAAAATGATGAATAACATGTGTAACTTTTTTTTGATGTCCTTTCAGTGTTGCAACAACTTGTTCACTATCTTTATTAAATACAACAGCTTGACGATCATTTCCACCAGTTAGAATTATACTGGAATTTTTTGGTGATATATCAAGTGCTAATATACCTGGACTACTAGCACTATGTAATGCCTATACAAAAAAAAAAATAAAATAACATCATACAAAAAAAAAGTCAACATCAATGTTAAAAAAGTTAACGAACTGTATGTGTTGCTGAACAACGAAAATTTTTCATTTCATCAATAGTTGTTAAACCTTCTGGTACACGTTTACCGCGTTGTTTACGTAATTGTGTTAAAATTGATGCTTTATCTTGTAACTAAAATAAATAAATAATTTATTTCATTTTGTAGAATAAATATTTTATGAAAATTACTTTTTGTATTATTTCATCAGTCATGCCTTCAGCAGTTGTTATTGATGTTTGAGAAACATCAGTCATAATACCATGATGTGCTGCTTGTATTGATTGTTCATTGACAAATTGCTAAAAAATATTTAATTATTAATGTTAAACATTGTATTTACTTTTCTCTTTCTTTCTATAGATTTTATCGATATAAACATATTCAATCATACATGAAACTCAATTATTATTGATGGATTTCGATCAAGTATAGTTGTTCGAAAAATGAATTCATTTCTTTGAAATACAGGGTGGCCCAAAAGTCACTTTACCGAAAAAAAATGGAATATATCCGTTACGATTCCACCAAATGAACTGATATTTTTACCAGCAACAGAGGCATGTTCACACTCTATATCCATACAGATAAGATTAGAGAGAACCTTTGATAAATAGTATTATTGACCTCAACAAGAAAAATTAACTTTTTCACAGATAGAAAAAAAAAAAAAACTATATACTTAACAGAAGTTTTCTCTAGGCATGTCGTTATGGATATGAAGCTTGAACATGCCTCTATAATTGGTCAAAAAATCAACTTGTTTGCTCGATCCGTAATAGAGATTTTCAATTATTATTTTGGTAAACTGACTTTCGTGTCACCCTGTATATGGCCCGAAAGTCACGTTGCCAAGAAAAAATTGAATATCTCCGCTACGGCTCGAGGAAACGGGCTGAGGTTTTTACCAATAATAGAAGCATGTTCACACTTTGAATCCAAACGGACAAGAATAGAGAGCACTTTTATAAAGTACCACTAATGACCTCAACGAAATAACGTTCCTTTTTCGCAGATACGATAGAAAACAATATACTTAACAAAGGATCTCTCTAAGCATGTCTTGATGAACATAAAGCTTGAACATGCCTCTATCACTGATAAAAGAATCAGCTCGCGCCGTAATGGAGATATTCGATTTTTTTTGACAAAGTGACTTTTTTTTCTAACTCTGGAAAAGTAAATTTTTCTTGTTGAGGTCAATAATAGTACTTATGAAAGGTTCTCTCTTATCTTGTCTGTATGGATATAGAGTGTGAACATGCCTCTGTTGCTGATAAAAATATCAGTTCATTTGATGGAATCGTAACGGATATATTCCATTTTTTTCGGTAAAGTGACTTTTGGGCCACCCTGTATTCTCATTCAAAAAAAAAGTATCGTTTCTTATAAACTTACTGTTGGTGTTGTATGTGCAATACCAGCTTGAGGTTTAAGTGTAGCTAAAGCTTCTCGTGCAGCTGTTACTTCTTTATTTAAACGAGCTATAACACGACAAGCTGCATCATGTTGATACATAACATGTGAAAGTTCTATATGATTAAAAATTATTATGATGATATATATTTTTTCAATGAAAAATAGTAACCTTGTCTTGCTGTTTGTAATTGTTGACGAAGTGTAAAACTATGTAACATACAAGCATCCCATTCATCTTGTAACATTTTAAGTATAGCTGGAATACTTGTTGCCGATGGTGGTTTTGGTTTACCAAGTGGTGTAACTAAATCAAAAGAAAAGTTTGCGTGTTTCTTTTTTTCATCAAAATAAATATAATTGAATAAGGCTTGAAGACTTTTTTCTTCGATTATAATACAAATAGATAGTGTTAATCATTCGTGACAAAAGTTATTTGTTTGAGAAGATTTCTCAAGCATAAACATTTACCAACATAGTAGTTCTTTCAGTTAACACTTGATGATAATTAATCACTTAAAAAGTAATTAGAGAATAATTGTCTAACCATTTGATAGGAAAATTCGAAACACTTAGACTAGACTCTATACAATGGACTACATCTATAGTAAATGTTTTCGAAAAATTTCTTCTTAAAAATCACTTGCCCAAATATTCAATCATGTTTTGAAACAAAAAATTTGCATTTTGTCATCAATTGAAGATTCTCAAGAAGTGTTTTGTGCCATTTATGGTTTGCTTTACAACTTCGTATTCACTTATAAGAATAGTTTTTCGTTTGTATATCCGTAGTTTATTACATCGCTAACAAAAAGTAAAGCAAGTTTCTTGAAAAGTCTAAGGCTATTCAAGAAGAGATTGAAATAGAAAATCTGCAGCATTAATTTTCATTTATAGAATGTACTGTTTAGTTTTCAAAAATTCTATGTGAATACGCATATTTTTTTGTCTAATTGAGATACACCCGATGGAAATTGACGTCTTTCTTTAAGTCATGTTACTAACGCTAATTGTTATTGACAACTCCTTTCAACAAAGGATTGTAATGTTGAAATTATCAGAATATCTGGAGCAATTTAACACGTATATGACTTATAAAAATTAGTCCTAGAAAAGTTTAGAATGCAGAGAAGTATGAATTTCAATTCAGCGAAGTCACATCGCTAATGGATGAAATTGCTTATATTTTTGTCTTAATAAATCATATAATTTTAAAACATTACTTATTCAATATCATTCACTATGTATAATTTTATTTTCAATTTAGAAAATTAAGTTTTGAATTCAGTTCAATTCTATTTCCGATAGCATGTGATTCTCAAAAAGGTAACTAAAAAACATGATTATTATTTTCTTCTGTAAAGCAAAATTCAATGTTTGTTTTCTATTGAACTAAGAACAATGGTTTTCGAATTATTCAGAATAAAAAGTACCTTTAACATCAATTAGTTGTTCTTCAGTTAATGGTTGTCCATTAATTGGATCAGTTGGTGATTCATGTAAATATTTAACAATTAAACGTTTTTCAAAAATACAACCAGAAACAGGTGAAAGTACCGGTTGTTCAGGAACTTCGTTTGAAACTAAAACAAAATCAATATATTTAAAAAAGCAGTCCCTGTGGAGTTAAAATGTGAAATACGATGCAGCTACTGTCGCTAATCACAATGAGATTGTTTTATTCTATCTATTCTAGGACACATTTTTTCACGATGCGTTTCCTTAGCTCTTCAGAAATGTAATAAATAGTCTATATCTTATGACGAGGCGTTACTGATAGACCGTTTATGATAGAATATCAACAGCATTTGTTATAATCTGTAGGAGACAAGTTGTAACTGGTCTAGAGTTTTTGAACTGGTCCAGTCAGTTTAAAAAAAGAAAAAACTTTCTAGACCAATGAAAATTAGTCTATTTGTTGAGCCAGTATGAAATCAATTAATAGGAATGGCTTCAGAAAACATTCATTTTCTTTTTGGTACTGAAACTTTTACAAAGCCACAGGAAGAAATATCGTGTTATAGTCGTTTGTATTTGTTAGGCTTCTCAAAGATAAATATATGATTAGTCTATGTAGTTCAGACAAATCTAACTTTGATCTTAATCAAAACTGTTTAGCTCGAGTAACCCAGTTTACTCTGAACAAGTTTTATCAGAGAAAATATTGCGTATCTATAGAATATTTTCCAACTATTGAAGACCACCTGGATCGGTTACAAACTTGGATAAGGAGATTCAAATTTCTGCGCCTATACTTTAGCATTCCTTTTAGATCGTATTACACACACACACAAAGATAATCTATACAACTAAAAATATCACTTACGAGAACAAATAAGTGACATAATTATTAAAAAGCAAAGAATCTGAAAATGAAGAAAAAAAAACAATCACAGTTAATATAAGTTCTTTAAATGTCATACTAAAGATAAACAGAATAAATGTTGAAAATAGTTAATGAATATAGATTTAAAAAAAAACACAAAGCAAAAAAATGAGTATTCGTTTTTTTTGTTTCGTCATTTGATCACAACGGAAGAGATTCATTTAGATTATATTATTAAGCAATAGTATGTTCAGATGTCATTGGAGATTGACGATTATCACGTAACATTGGACTACCACTACTGTCTTGTACAGCAACTTTTAATCCACGAGATTTTATTTTTGGTGAGTTTATTTGTGATTTAGCTGTTAGCAATGGTTTATCATAAAGAGTTTGTTCACCATTTTCATCAGATTGATCATTTTCAGATTCAGATATAATTAAATTTGAAATTTTTGTTTTATCTAAAAGAATTTTTTGTTTTTCTTTTTAATAAAATAAAATTTGTTTTATTTTGTTTAGGTTTTTTTACATACTTTTTTTTGATGAATGAAATTTATTTTTACTTTTCTCTTTTAAACTTTGTGAACTTTCATCATCATCTTCTTCATCATTTTCATGTAATAATTGATAACGAATACGTTTACGACGGTCTAATAAATTACGACGACGTCTCCAACGTAAACAACAACATAAACATAACCAACAGAATAGTATTGTCAATACTGTACTAGCGCTTGTTATTAGAACAAAATAATGAATAATAAAATCTATGATAAAACATAATAATAAAGAAAATTTATAAGATTCAAAATCGATACAACTAAAAAAATATCTATTCTTTAGAAACTCAAATTTTAGCTTAACATAGTTGAATAAATAAGACACAAAAAAAATAGGCTATGTTCCGATCTAATTTAGACGCATTGAACTTATCAATCAAAATTAAAAAATGAGGAAATATACAAAAACAAATTATCATATCAAAGAAATGGGTTGAAAATCTTCAAAAAAAAATATTCGATTGTTTTTCTTGTATTTATATGTATTCTTAGTGTATTAAAATTAGAAATTTTGTGCTCTTTTGGAATATATGCTTAGAATTTTAATATGAATTTTGAAGATTCAAACATTTAATTAAAGAAAAAATCTCACATGAAACTTATTGTAGACATTCGACAATATTTACCATATATATTGGAAGATATAGAAAAAAAATTCTCTACCAAGCAGTAAGGACTATTATCAAGTCTATCGTAGGAAAAATGGTTATTTGTTCGATTTATTTGTTTTTACCGCAAAATGACCCATCGTCACAGCTCTGCTATTTTTTTTAGTAGATTAACAAAAACTTTTAATTCTTGCATCATTTTGTACAGTATAGATCATTCTCAAATACTATACTTACTTTATGCAGACTCGTCTTTAAAGAAAAAGAAAAGAATTTTGTCTCTTCAGAAAAGATTTTTTTGAGTTGTATTAAGTTTTACAGCTCAACAATCGAAAGTAACAGAAAAATACAAAGAATATATTCTGAATGAACGCACTAACAAATAAACTTTTACTCAAAGCTTAATTAGCATAGCGAGGTGCTGTAAATTCAAAGTTTTAACAAGTTTTTGTTTTCAATTTATGCAATGTTATTGGTTAAAACACGTCGAGTTACCTATGAAAAACTACATTTCTATTTTTTGGAAATAAGTTTGTTCATTATTACTGATACGTAAATATTGTACACTTAGTAGAACATTACAAGGTTTATTTCCTGATTCTGTAAATAACAATTGACTAAAGGAACTTTATGTGCATAAGATTTTTTTGTTCAATTTTTGTCTGCAAAATCAGGAAATAAGCCTTACAATGTTCTGCATAGTGAAAAAAATAGAATATTTACAATAGTAGACGATTCTAATCATGATAGATTCAGAGTTTAGCATTTTTTTCCGATATGTCAAGAAAAAATCTGCTTCCAAAACACGGAAAAGCACTCTTTTCACAAGTAAATCGATGTGCTCTGTCCAATGATACTAAATTAATTGAAAACTTCTATTAAGTTTTACATGAAAATTTGATAGGAATTAATTAAAGAAAAAAACAACTGCTTTTATTCTTACCACAATTTGGTTCTCTATAAATAAGAGATTTAAACCAATTTTCCATATAATATTTATTACAAATACAACTTTTTGTTTTTTGATCACATTTTCCATGATTTGAACAATTTGATAAACATAAATACGTATCAATTGATAAGATATCCATATTTGATGCTGAACGTAATGATTTTATTTTATCTTGTAAATGATTAACAATAATTTTTGGTGAAATAATTTGATTAGTTTTAATATCTTTTCCTTTAATTAATAAAATATTTTCTTTTAACATTCCAATCATAATAATTTCAATATTTGGTAATAAATCAATAAGAAAAACACGTATTTGTGCTAAAAGATTATCAAGTGTTTGTTGATGTAAATATGGTTTTGATAAGAAAATAATTTCAATTAAATTTTCTTCATTTGGTATACCATTAACATTAACTGTTATATTCATTTCACTCATTTGTTGTCGATCATCATATACTTGAAGAATAAATATATATTGTCCTTCAATTAAATTTGTTATATAAGCAATAGGTAATATATTTGAATTATTTATAAAATAACTCATAGCTGGACTTAATGGACTTTTAATCCATTGCCATTTTGAAATACCATAATCAGCTGTTGTTGCTGTTGCATTAAGTATAATAAGATTATTTAATATATTAACATAATTTGTTTCTAAATGAATAGAAATTTTTGGTGGTTGACCATTTTGTGAATAAACAATAACAAGAACTTCAATTTTTGATGTATATTGTTTATCATTTGTAACTAATGTTAAAAGAAATTTATATTGACCAATACGAAGATTTGATACTTGTGTTTTAAGTGAATGTGGTGAAACAATATCAATCTTGTCTGCATCTTGTTTATTATCATTTGATATTAATGTCCAAAAAACATATGTTTTTGGTTCAATTATACTTGGTGTACCATCAAGTATAACATCATTTGATGGCCAAAATACAATTTCACGATGATTTACTACTCGTGCTTCAATTGGTTCTAAAAAATTTCAAAGAGATGAGTTTTTGGTGTTATTGTTTTGTTTTTTTTTAATTATTATTATCTTACCACCAATAGCAATTAATTGAATAGTTTTTGTTTGTTGATTACCGATATTATCAGTAACATCTAATCGAAATGAATAATTACCAGGACGAAGATTTGATATTAATAAATCAGAAGTATTAATGTTCTAAAAATAATTCAATATAATTGAAATGTTTTGTTTGTTTTCTTTTTTTTTTAAATAGAATTTTACTTCCAATGTTGGTGTAGTAGGACCATCGTTTTTGTAAATCCATTGATAGGTAACTTGTCGATTAGAAGGTTCAACAGAAGCTTGAAGCTTAGTTACTTGTTGTGGTAAACGAATTGTTACTAGAGAGGGCACTTTGACAATAAGAGGTGATGGTGTTGGTTTAGCTGAAAATATTAACAATGAATATTTTGATTATGACACAATTTAATCATGGTATTAATATCATAAGGACAATATTAAAAACTATTCAAGTTTAAAATAAAGAACGAAACAAACTTGAACAAGGAACCTTTTCTGATGTCAAATCAATTTTTGATTGGATTGATGTTCATTTGATGAGTATTAGTGAATAATAGAATGATCTAGCCTTGAAATATCGAAATTCTACTGACTTTTTCAATAAGTAGATTTGGGCCTCTTTGATCATGTCGAAAATTAATTTTCGAGTTTTGACTTCAAACTTTACAAAAACAAACTTCTCAATAAGATTAGTACATTAGGTATGTTGTCACGTTTCTAGGAAACTTCTAGTTTGGGATATGAAATATTCGACATTCTCTCATGTGTATGTAAATATTAATTTTGTTCATATATTAACATTTCTAAAAAGCGAATAATAGAAAAGCGAAAACTTGCAGATATCTTGAGAACAAAAGTCCAGAAAACCAAATCATTCTAGACTTTTCTATTACTCATCAAATGAACATCATCTCGATCGAAAAGCGATTTGACATTGGAGAGTTGATCTCAAACGGAACTATCAGGAGAAGTTGGTGTTTCATTGCTAAGTTCATATGTACTTTGATGATCAAAACACAAAACAAGTGTTTTCATTATCCGATGATTAGTTGTGGAACAAAATAATAAGTTGTTTTCTTATAGATTCTAGAGTTTTTCTGTCATATATTCGTTTCGTATAATCGAATAGAAAAAATAAAATAACGCTCTACTAAGATGATTCAATCAGAATGATAAAAACAAAAAAAAAAATCTTTTGCTGTTTTCAAGTGCGTCAGTATGAATTATTACCGTTCAAAAGTTAGAGATAATTATGTTCAAGACATCAAAGAATTTTTTTGAAATCTTTTAATTTCTGTTTATCAATTTGTTAAAATGCTATTATATCAGTACTATCGTTGAATACTATAAACAAAGAAATCAATTCAATTCAATATAGAGATTTTTATTAGAATGTAAAAAATTATTTATCAAAGTGCACTATCGACATTGTTATAATTATTAAAACATCTACGAAATCAATATCCAGTATGAATAGAATACAGTCAAACTCACTTCAAATAGTGTTTTGTTAGATCATTTTACCTATCAATAGAGTATAACAATCTCTATTTGTAGTATATCAATCTCAGATATTATAATAAAAAATCCAAAGGTAAAATTAACTTTTCTAAAACCTAATATTGTTAAAAAGATTTATACTTATATATCAATAGTATACAATTTAATTTCATATATATATATCCCTGAAAAAACTGCTCTTACTCAACTTAGTCAATCTATTGTCACCATAAAAAAATATTTTGAAAGCGCTCAGTGTTTTTTGGCTATCCAATACATTTATTTATCACATAGTTTCTACTGACTGGAAAATAAATCAACTAAAACGAAGACATCCATATCGTCAAATATTCCTACAAACTGTCTTGTATCGCTGTTTTCTCAATTAACTTTTTAATTTATCCTTAATACAGAAATAGTTATCTAAATCTGATAGAGTTTTAAAATTCTCTGCTATCCTTTATATTGCTCTCAATAAGAATATTATTTAGGCACACTTGTTGACAAACTATTTCTTGATTGTTATTTTGTTTCGACAATTTAGAAGGATAAAAAATTCCAGATACTATCAACATACGTAGTTACATTTTTAAGAATCTATTCCATAAGAATAAAAAAGAAAAGTCATTAAAAAAGAAACCAGTTTTGAAATAATGCTCGTATTATTCGTTAGAATTTCAATGCAAGACAAGAAAGAACCGCTAGTCAAAGCATAAGTATACAAAGTGAACAGAGTTGTTGATGTTTTCTAAAGGTGAGGAGAGAGCTGCAAATGCTTTCATCATTCTCGAAGTGCTAGAAATAGTGACTGAGGAAGGAACAAAATTCACAACAGACGACCTACTAATAAGCCGTCTTCCTCTAAGTTTATTCATCTCTCAATGACCTTGTGTGGTTATTTTGATATCAATTTCTACCAGAGCAAGGTGAATGGTATTTTGAAATTCAGTAGTTGTCCAAAGTTACTATGAAGTTGTAAAAAAAATTGACAGAAAGTGGGACATTTTAGAATGGAGCATAAGCCCCTTCTAATCAGAAACGTTGAGAATAATAGAAAACTTCGAGTATTTTCCGAATATATATAATTGTTTTTTTTTTGAATATGTTTTTCTCTTGACAATATATTTAAAAAATTGATTAACACAAATCTTTTTTTTTCCGAGGTTATATACAAAAGTTTTTTGTTGAAATTTCTTACTTGGAAGAACTTCTATTTTAACAATATCCGATGCTAATGTTGTTCCTTGTTTATCATTTAATTTTAATTCAAATTCATATATTCCTTCACGTAATTGTTTAACAAGAATGTGTGTTGCTAAATTTTCTTGATTTGAAATATCAACTTTAGCATCATTCGTTGATGATTTAAGTGACCAAAATAAATTAAAATTTTGATTTTTTAATATTGATATATCAACTTCACTTTTATTTGATTTATAAAGAATATGTCCAGATAAATCAATTTCATTTTTAGGTAAAATTATTGTTTGATCATCACCAGCTTGTACTTCAAAATCATATAATGATGATATTGAAGTTGATTTTGTTGAAGATATTAAAGATATTGTTGTTAAATTTGTTTGTTTATCAATTACACATTGTCTATTAACATCTTTTCTTAGAAAACCAAATTTACATTGACAATAACCATGTTTAGCACGATCACTTGGTGGTAAACATTCTTCATTTTTCTTACATCTTCCTCTATCATCATCATCATCATTAACAATATCATTATTTTCATCATCTATTTCATATATTGCACAAGGTTTTGCATGAGGTAAATATTGCCTACATACACCTATAAAGAAACAAAACAAAACATTCTTTAGAAAACAAATTTATGTTTTCTTTTATACTTTTTCTTACCTTTAATACGACGAAAATCATTATTATGATCACATAGACATATTTTTCGTTTTATTTGAGCATTTATTGATACTTGTTCACATTGTTCATTTATTGGACATAATTTTGTTTCATTACATTCATCAGCTCCTGGATCATCATAATCAAGAGCAGCTGCTGTTGATCCTTTTGTTTTTGTTGTAGATTATAAATATTTTTTTTTTGTTAATCTCAAAATTATATAAAAATTTTACTTACGAACAGAACGAACTTTTATATACAATGTCTCATCATTAGTATCATCATTATCAATACTTATTGGTTTACATAATTCATCCGATAAACATTCAATATGAAGACATGTTGATGATATCCAATAAGCAACATTACATCGATTAAATTGACAACATTGAGCAACACATTCAGTCCAACTCTCGACTTTAATTCTATAAAATAATAATCAATAAATGAAAATTTAATTTTTTGTCTTCTTTTTCTTTTCTTTTTTTTTTTTACTTGGAATATTTTCCAGCAGTAGAACCACCTAATGGTTTAACACTTGTATAAATAAGCTCTTTTAATTCAATAGAATGCTTCCAATCATTAGACCATACTGAACAAACATCGACTAAAATGAAAGAAAAAAAATCGGATTTTAGTTAAAAATTCTGTTTTTTTCTCTTCGAAATAAAATTCATCATTACTATCATTTGATATTGAATAACAAATTCTTTGAAAAGAAAAACAAAAAAGCACCAATAATATAAATTTTAGCACCAACATTGCATCTAAAAAAGAACGTTATTTTGCTTTATATTTCGTACGAAATTATCTCGTTCTGTACATGTAAGTGTATTTTTATTCAAGTGAACCGTATGAAAAAATTACTCAGAATATGATTGATAACTAATGTGCTGATATAAAACGCACTATTCAAAGCACAGAGAAAAAGAACGAAAAAAATCGCCTACACACGCACACACACATAGAATGATTGCGAAAGAAAAAAGAAAGACATATTATTTTTCTTTTTTCATGACAGTAAAATAGAAATTATATTATTGCCTGATATTGATTTGTCTCAGATTAAACTTTCAGACTAAATTTGTTGTTTTATTAGATCATGTCAAGTGAATCTAAGTTAAATCCATTAGTCCGTATTATACCAATTTTATATGTTATAACGCAGAGAATTATCAACAGTTGTCGTTAGCTGCCTAAAATATCTTATATAGTGGAAACCATGTTAGCTAAACGTTACTGCAGAGTCTGACCATCTAATTTCTCCTCCCATAAGAGAGTCCGGTGATGTTTAAGTCCCCCTTTTTGCTCACAGTGTTCATTATTGGCATGACAGGTGGACATGTCACTTTCTAGCTCAAAAGCAGTTGTGTATAATGCAAAACAGTATTTCTAAAAAAAAAAAAAAATCAATTTTTGGGTAATTTTTTTCAACGAAAAATATCTAAGGAAGACTTTTGCTCTCATTTTTTCGAAAAAAATACTTTTGTACCATATATCATTCAATGCCGTTGAATGTGCTGATTTCGAATATACTATTTTTGTCAGTTGAATATTTTTCCAAAACTAGAACAACTAAAAAAAACCTAGTTTTTTTTTGGAACCCACTGTGCAGCCTGGAAGTGTTAAGACTAAAAGGGATTAAAGACAGTAATTAGAAGAACATTCTACCTAGCAAAGTTTGAAAAACTTAGAAGACTGAGTAGCGGATAGAATGCTCACTTTACTGGACTAAAGAAAAAAATTCATATAATTTGCAGATATATTCGACAAAACAAAATGTATCGAAGTATAGTTGTAATTAAAAAAAAATTTACAAATTTCAACTTGTATTCAGAAAATGTTAATCATTACTAATAATGATGAATATACAAATAAATAAAACAAATCTATTTGCAAAACAACTTCATAAAAAATGAAAAAAATGATATCTATTACATCGTACTTGTTGTCAAGTTCATATAAAACTCATTGTTATATTTTTCTTGTCGGATAATGGAAGGTTATGTATTGTAAATTAAGCAGATTCAATAGTATCTGAATTTCAGTGTAGTCACACTTGAAAATTACAGTAAAAATAGTTTTTCTTTTTTCCATCATGGTTGAATAGAATTCGACGAGTTATGTAAATTTAGGAAAAAAAACCATATCAGACATATTCAAAAGCAGTTTTACAATAACTAGAATTTTGTGTGTATTACGAATAATGGCACCTTGAACTTTTCGTAAAATTGATTTCGAATATGAATGGTAGTTTTTTCTCATGTAACTCAAAAAAAAAAGAGAAAAATCAATTCTGATGAAATATTTGAAGCGTGGCCGCATGATATAGACTATAAATACCTTGAAACTCGAATATCTCACTTCATGTGCGCTATAAGTTATATTTTAAAATAGTTAGTTCAGCAGTGAGACTATTCATTGCATCCGAGTATAGTCAATCTCCTTAACTTACGATAGACGATCTTTCACTGTCGAATCTATTCAAAATTTATAATAAAGATATTATGAACCAACGAAAAATTAAAAATTTGAGAAGAAAAATGATCTGAAACACTAAATACTAATATAGTACTACTACACGAAAAAATTGTCAAATAGGTCCATATAGTCCCAGCATAACAATTAAGGACTAACTGATAACATGAGTTAGATTTCTCATTCTACATGATTGCGAGAATATATTGGTTTTATGATCGAATTTTTCAAAATTTGAGATGTGAATCTAGATTACTGATTCTTATCTACAAAGATATAGAAAACATAGTGATAACAATCAGTCAGCAATAAAGAAAAAAAAAAGTTTCTCTTGCTCTTATCATACTAATTAAGACGTACGAAAATATTGATGGTTCTTCGATCACTGTTTTAGCTTGCTGTAGCTTATACAGATAAAATAAATCTGACAATATCATAACTTCATTTACAAAAATCATTGATTTAATTTTAATAGAATAGTTCAAATGCATTCTGTAATGATATTGATATTCAAAAGGATTTTATTTTGATATTCTAAACAGATGTCATCTATTTTGCATTATATACTATGATCAATAATTCTATATAACATACAAAGAATTCTAGAAAAGTTTCATCTTTTTCAACAAATACAAGATCATCTGGTTTTTACCATTCAAATATATTTCATAACGTGAAGACTTGAGATTATGAGTTTCTTAAACTTTAGTGAATTATCGTAAGTAGGTATAATATAATCTCATGGACTCAATTTTAAGCTCACATCAACGTGGAGTTATTTTTGATGATGAATCAAAATGTATTTCATTGTTGAATATCAGCCATTGATATAAATTAATTAAATTTTAGCCAGATAGAATAAGAGCAAGCACATATATAAGATCGCTTTTATCATGTTTGACCTCTGATAAATAGTCTTTTGAATTTAATCTTGATTATATGTAGCGAAAATCGAAACTAAATTAATTTCCACTTTTGATGATTTTAAAAAACAAAAAATATGACAGGAATTTTATCGTGTCAGGGTCCCATTCCATGAAACGTCTATCAAAAGACTTACGTCTCATCCCATCCGATCTTTTCCATAAGAAAAACAGATACTGATATAAACATTTTTATAAGGAAAGATGTTACTATATTTTTTGTAGAGATAGAGTTCTTGTCTATTTTATCAAATGGTATATAAGAAGTCAAGTTTTCCTCAAATTTTGATCTGCTGAGAATTCATATACTGATTGTAACCCTTGAGAAGTTTACATGGTTCTCATAAATCTTGTAGTCCTTAAAATTGACTTATACAATTATTGGTTTTAATCTCACTTTAAGACATTTATGAGCGCTCTTCAATTGTCTATAATCAAAATTTTATATCGTTGCTTTCTTCCCGCTTGAAAACGATGTGTTTGCTTAGGTTCAGGTCATTTCGTCGAGAAATGACATTTCAGTGTGCTAGACTCTGTACTATAGAACATGTGAGTACCGACATAAAACTTTCTCATAAATTGCACACTATCAAGCTCTATATGTTTGATATACAATATCTTATAGAAATAGCAGAAACTCTTTGTCCACTTGCAAGATTGTTCCCTTGAATAATCCTTTTTCCTATATGAAGAAGCTGATATCTTGGCAATGTTTTAATATCATTACAATCGAAAATTCTTTTCCCATATTTTCATACTACATCAGGAATCCGGAAGCCAAAACGTATTTTCCACTTATAGAGGAGTTATTTATATCACTTCATTAGAGATGTTAGGCTGATTATTATTACGTATAGTTTTTAATAGGATCATTAAGTATTGTTAAGTCACCGTCAATATGCCGACTTCTTCATATAGGAAAAAAGGTTACTCTAGGGAACAATCTTGCAAGTGGACAAAGAGTTTCTGCTATTCCGCAAGATATCTTATGTGAAACATATGGAACTTGATAGTATAATATTTTTGAATAAGTTTCACACGGGTATTTACTTGCTCTCTACCACAGAGTTGAGTGTACTGCAATATCATTTTGTCAAGAAATGAACTGAACTTAAGTAAAGAGATCATTTTTAAGTATGAAAAAAGCCACGATAAAAAATATTCACTATCGAAGATTGAAAGCAGCTATAACTGTATTGAGTTGAGATTAAAACCAGCCAATGCATAGGTTTATCTCAGGGACGGCAATGTCTATGAGTATCACATATAGTCCTCAAGGATCACAACCAGTATATGGATTCACATCAGATCAAAATTTGAAGAAAATTTTAAAAATATCTATTTGACAATCATGATTTTAAATATAAAAAGAAGTGCGATTAAATTATTCTTTTCCATAAAATCATCTCTTCATTTATGACGAATATTCCATTAAAAAAAAACAGAATTTTCTTTTGCTCTGACTTAAAATTTGCTTCATATCTTGTATGTTCAGAAGCAAGATAATCATTTTAACTTAGAAAATTTAAGTTTCAAGTTTATATACATTGAAATAATTCACTCTTTAATTATATCTGTATTTTCAAGTCTATTAAAGCTGGTGATGCTAAAAAGTGCTTCATGTCACCAACTTATTGACATAATTGTTAATAATTTCTCCATAGAACTTTCCCGTATGTTTTTCATTTTGAAAAGCAGACGATCGATCATTTATCGTGAAATAGCATCTATTCGTCGATTTCTTTTTATTTTTTTCCATAGGGTTTGCCATTTTGTCAAAAAACGAATGTCAATTATTGCAATAAGAATTGGATCTACAGCTATTTCCAAATAACTCAGTAAAGCAGTAAAAACACCTGGATCACTATTGACATCAATAAATTGACCAGCAAGTGTATCCGGACTCCATAAAACTAGCCAAATAGAATAAAAAGCTATTGCTTTCAATAGAAGTGTTCGTTGACGTCTACGACGACGTAGAATAACTTGTTGACTTATAACGCCTTGTATTGAACTAACATGACGTATACCAAGGCATAGAATAATAATATTAATAACAAGAGGTATAATGTAGATTACAAATAGATTAAATATTTGAACTGTTAATGATAAATATATTATATCACAAGATTCATCAGTTCCACGTCGTATTTGTGTCCAATTAGTAAGAAATTGAACAATAAGATTAAGTGCTGGTATAATATAAATAAGGAAATGCATGAATATAATTAAATGAGGTTTTTCTTTATAAATATTTCGATTATAAACAATATGCATATACCGACAAATATTAAATGCTAATAGAAGATAACTTTGTATAGTATTGATATAAAATTTCCATGATGCTTCAAAATAACACAAAACAGTTCGAGGTGTTATAAATAAACACATAGCTGATTGACGAATACCATATAAAATAAAGAATCGTAAAAGTAGAAGAAAACTAGTAATTAAATAAGCATAAAGCCACATCATATTTCGCTGTCGTAATGATGACCATGTTAATACTTGAATCCAAAATATACTATGAATGATAAGAGCAACTGAAGATAATATTATAAGAGGCTCTAAGGAATTAAAATTGCCTGTTGACCAATCGAAAATAGTACATATTGTGGACATGATTACTGTAAATTGATTTTATATAAAATACTGTTGTACAAAATGGTAATATGCTCACAGAATTAATCAAATGAATATGACGTCAAACTAGAATATTATGTTAGCTATTATTCTAAATGAAGATCATAACATGCAATTATCAAAAAACAACAAAGCATAGAAAAAGTCATTAAAATTTTTTTTATTTCATCACTATTTTTATAAGTCACCGATGCAAATGTACTTCACTAATAGAAGATTATTATTTTTTTAAACTCACGCATCAGTGTGTCTTGTCTAATAAGTGTAAGGGCAACTTGATTTTAGACAAAGTTCTTAATTCGAAGGAGTTTTCAAATAATAAAAAGAGTTTCTATTTGCTTGAAGTGATTCTTAAAGAAACTTGTAAAATTTTTCTATACTATTGAATAGGAAAATGTTTGCTGAATCGAATAATACAAAATCCATTCAATTATCTTGAAAATTCACAAAATAATTAGCAATTATTTGCAAGTTTATGAATTTGTCTTTAGCAAGAGCACTGTTTTTAATAAGATTATATTTTGTAAGATACATCGAAAATAACATGGCTTTCGTCAATGGATTTTTTTACTATCTAAACTTGAAAATTTGCTTATGCTTCTACGACAAAAAAGATGTTCCATGATAGATAGTCTATATACTTACAGTGGTTTTTGGCAAATGAAGTTTTTCTTTTTATTCATGGCATCAGTTTGAAATGATAACATTATGATTAAATGATGAACTGTGATAACTCAATCATAATTTTGAATCGTTGAAAAATAGAAAAACTTCTGCCATACGTGCATCCTTTTATAATTGTGTTGCTTATATTATATAAATAATTTTCAGAAAGTTTTAATAAATTATTGCCAATTGCAAGTATAACTCAAAGAAATCTCCATTTGATTAAGCAAAGGATCAGAAATAGAAATAGTTGTTACTATTGTTGGATCCATTTTGATTTATGTATTCAAAAGGGAAAAGAAAAGCTGTCAGCGCAATCCATGCGTGATCAACCTATGAAACGCGTGGTAGTTTTTCTTGCTAGCTATAGGAAAATTGTTTTAGTCTATGTACTTTGCTATACATATCTTCATTATACTTTTACTTGATTGTTTAGAAACGGAATTAAGAAGTAGTCCGTATGTTCAGTTGGCTGTTATGATCTATGATGAGCCATTTCTAAGGCTTTTTTATATCTGCCGATAAGGGATTTCACATTTTTAGCTGTGTACTTCTACCCTCATTTAAGGTCATGTTTCACTATAAACTTACACAAGTCTCGTTGTTAACCAGGCAGAAAACAATAAAATAATTTTCTTGTACTTAAAAATAAATTATTATTTTCGTCTTCATTGATGTAATACAGCAAGTTCTTGTTACTCTTCTTTAGAAATATTATTTATTTTCATTAATTGACATTGTAATTTATGCATGAATGACTTCTACATTAAGATTAGAAAATAATGTCCGAAAATATTTGTATAGACAAATATAACAACATTTTAATTTTTTAAGCATCCCTTTGCACAAGAAATACATGAGCTAAAATTCTTCAATGTTTTTGGTCGAAGTTTGCTCTGATAAACTAGATTTCTATTGAATATACTATCGAATTCTATAGCGTCCTTGATCTAACTAGACTTTAGCTAAACTTAAACATAATGTGATATAAATATGTAAGTCAAATTCTTTATTCTCATATTTTTCGATTAGTTTTTGTTTTTAGATCTTTTAAAAACTTAGTTTAATTTGGTCTGATATATGTTCTGAGTAGAAAAATGAAATGGTTAATAGAAAGCTTCTTGAATGTCTGCACTTGTAATAAATATAAACAGATGTTCGAAAAGAAAAAAAGAATTGCTATTCGGAGTAATATAACAATTCAATTTGCCTGTCATATGCAAGAAGCGAAATACTTTGATAAAGATTGTTTCAAAAAGTGGAAGTGAAATGAGGAAAACCATTAGATTCCTTAGTATCAACAAGAAAAAACTTGAACACAGAACTAATTGGTGATTTTGCAGAGATTATAAGTTTGAATAGTTTTTGGAATATTTCATGAATTGCCTGACTTGAGTTCGAATCAAATGACGTTTCAACTACAATGAGATGAATTCAAGAATAAATGAATAATAAATCGGGCCAGCACTTGTCTGTATCAAAAATAAAAAAATTCTACTTCAATTATTAGTTATGATTGAGATAGAACTCCTCTATAACTACGGCAGAAATTCCAAAAAATAATATTTTTTCAAGTTATATTTTTCATACAAATAATGATGTATTGTAATAATTGATGTCTGTCTTTTTATTTATTTATTGAATAAGTCAACCACTATAATCATTAACGGTTACCTTCATAGAAGGAGTTTTCTCTGCGTACATGATGATAGTAATACGTATGCTGTCTTCTTGTATACTGAAGTGGAATGGCTATGTAATCGAATGTATGATATGTAATTGTTGCATTCATATATGTGGAAAAATAACCTAGTGATTATTAGTTAGGTTCCAATTAGAGTATCACTAATATCTTGAGTGGGAAAGTGAAAATACACCCGTTTGACAATAACTAATCACACTACAGAAACACTATATAGCACAGCCCCATCTCAACTATAATTAATAACTGAAATAAATTTTTTTTTGTATCCAGAAAGAGCTCTATGTTTTTTCTGAAATTTTCATTTATATTCCAACTTGAACTAAACATTTATTCGAAAGTTTCGAGAACATATAAAGCAAAAAATAAAAAAGCCTATTGTGTTGAATCGCTATATCACAATAAATAATTCCAAATGTAAAAACAGTTCTCTCTATAAAGATTAGAAAAAAAAACGCATTTTTCGCTATCAGTAGTTATTTTCTAGATGACAATCATTACGAACATTGCACTTACATTGTTACTAATGAACGAATACAAAATTTGAACTTAGTCTCAATAATATCGAAAAACTAATTAATTAACAGATTAAGTATATATTTACCACACAATAGATTACTCGATTGATCGAACATCATCAACGAAAGAAACTTTTTTAGTTTAAAAATACTTTTATATTATATATGGACTTCACTATTCGATTAAAAAATGATATCAATAATATATTTTTATATAAATGAATTTTTCTTACCTAGAGTTTTCATTTACTTTCTTATTAACATTCTTCCTATATAAATAGTATTTCAGATATCAATATGGATACCTTTGGTGACATTGTTGGAATCAAATCTAATAGCTGTTTTGATCTCATCTAAGCAATGGCAAACGAAGTTAACGTTTACATTTTAAAAGCTCACAAGAACAAATTTCCAAGTGTGAATCTCCGTTTTCTGTCCACTTTATTAGAGTGTGTATAATTTAATAAGCTGATTATGATGACATAAAGCATTCTTCTTCATAGACAGCTTCAGCGGATTAGGTTGATCTCAGCTTAATAAAAATTATTGTAAGCTGTTGTTTCAGAAAGTTTTACTTTTATGTTATTTATGTTCTCGACATTTGGAAATTTAACATTGGATGCGCCTTAATTGACTGTACATGTCCTCACAATCAACATAAATAGAAGTTTTATCCACATCAATAGTTTCAAAAAATATTTTCACGATGCAATAATTGAAGCTTTATTAGATATCTCGTTTTCAATAATCTGTACTCTATTTAGTTGTTGTTTAGTATGTTTAAATGAAAAAATTATAAAAGCTACGGCAGATAATTGAAGCCTGATCAACATACATTCTCAATATTTGTTCTAAAAATATGGATATAGAATTGCAATTAGATGATTTTATATAAAAAATCTGTTGAACTCTATATATCCATAATATTAATAATATTGAAATATTGAATGTATAGACATGGCTAAAACTTCTCTTACAGTACTTTTTATTTGGTTGAGATCAGTTTAACTCGTTGAAATAATCTATGAGGAAGAACGCTTTACACTATTGCGATCAGCTTATTAAGTTGTGTACACTGGCATATAGTGGATTAAAAACGGAGACTCGCACTGGAGGCTCTTCGGACGTTAGCTCAAAGCTCATATATTTTTTAAGGTGGTGAATGAGTTGTAGAGTAAACACAATGTCAAGATACCAACAAGATGAATTATGAAAACTAAGGAATATATATAAATGCTCGAATAGGGTTTTTCCTCTTGGGTTTATTTATAGACTAATTGCTTGCGAAAGTTCTTGTCGTTGTAAACAATTCCTAATCGGTTAAGAAAAGCTTAAGCTTCGAATACTTGCTGTAAAGAGCTTAAAGAATATCGCTTGATAAGATCGTAAGCCTACTACTCTGTCAGATTCCACATTTATTAAGTTAGAAAAAAAAGAAGATGAAATTTTGCACATTTCAGTGATACTCATTTTTTATTTGGAAGAATGCAAACAAATGTTTCAGAGATCAAATAGGCTTCGAGAGTCTGCCACTTTTGGATAATAACTTCAGTAACGATGATATTTTCTTTTGTAAAATCAATGTGAAAACTAATAGCGTAGATCGGCATCGTTTTTCATACTCTAGAAAAGGACATATTCATCTTGTATATTGATTAGTTTAGGCAGGATCAGACTGGTGTAATAGATACAATTCTCGTATCATATAATTTAGTTTTGATACTTTTGTAACGTGCTATGTCTAAAAATCATATTGCAATAAGAAGCCCGAATGATTAGAAACTGTCGCAAATTCACGTTCTATCAATCTATATCGTTTCCAAAAAGACATATTCTATCCAAATGCTCATTCTCATGGACACGTTTTACGAAAGTGATCGTTTTGGGAGCATCATAAAAGTCGATGTCGACCATTTTCTTAATGAATGTTCATCAAGTTTCAATTTCAGAGCAAGATCTAATATGATATTCGGAATCAACACACAAAGACAGGTTATATCAAATACATTTCAGTAAAAAGTTTTTTTTCGACAAATGCTCATCAGGGAACTACAAGAGGAACTTAAAAAGGAATCCATTGAGAGCAACTACAT